CTATAAGGGACACAAACTCAGAAGTTCATTCGGTGCCCCTCGGATAATCCTCAGGGATATTAAACATATGTCATATGTACAGTCTTCAGATTCCCAGTTTTGGTATAAAACCAATAATTCATACAAAAAATTGAAAAAATGTAAGGTTTCCATTAGAGATATATTCGAGGATTCCTTTTCCGATCCCATGTCTTCTATTTCAAAATGTTCTGCGAAAAATTGTAAAACATGTGACATTTTGATAACTAACACTTCTTTCTCCAGTAATCTTACTGGACAGAGCTTCTGTACCAAAACTTGGGAAAATCTGAACTGTAAATCTTCAAATGTTGTCTACGGAATAGAATGTAGTCTTTGTGGACCTGTTTATGTTGGTGAAACCAAGGGATCACTCAATAAAAGAATATCAGGTCATAGATTTCAGATAAATAATGGGGGTCAGCAACTTTTATACAAGCATTTTAATTTACCTGATCATTCTATTTTGTCAATGAAAGTTAGAATTCTAGAAAAGATTTACCACCACACAAACAGCCCATCACTGAGTACACCTTTCCGTAGACAACGAGAAGAATTTTGAATTAGAAAGCTAGGGACAGCCTTTCCCTATGGATGTAATGACAATGTCGATAGTGTTGGAAATCTTTCCAGTCCACAGTGTAACAATGTAAATGTGATGAGACTTTGTAACCATACACAGAGACGTAAGCGTAGTCATGGGCATCGGTCTTATAATAATCCTTTAATACACGATGTCTCATTTGATTCATTACTACCTTACGTAAATCAACAGTTAGGTCTACATCATATTCGCACCACACTTTACTCTGTCCCTTTGAAACTTTTAAATAGTCTTCTTGAAAAGGTCAAGGAAAGTCCATTTTTTGATTCCTCGACACCAGAATATAGGCTCGGATCTGTGATTATGGATATTGCAAATCATAGGCTTTTTAAACCCCCACGTTTTACTGAGGAAAATGCAGCTAAAACAACCCGTTTTTTCCTTAAACTTCAATGCCAACAAAGGAATTGACGCGGTTACTATAAGTAATATTCTTAATCACAAAAGGGTCCAGTCTTGTATTCCACCATATTTCAAGTTAAAGACTACACCTTGTATTTCCTACAAATATACATCGACTATTGCTCCCAAACTTTTTAATTACAAGAAAACTTTACATGGCCTGGATATCGAATATCTGAAACATAATCCTCCATCGTGTTCATGTTCTTCTTCACCCTATAACTATAGTCCTGCTGGACACGTTATTACTGGTGACGTTAATATAGTTAATAATGAGGACCTTAGATCACTAATTTTAAGGAGGCTGGGGGGTCAACAAATTAACCACCAGATTTAACTTAATTTTTTAGATATGATATTTTAAGCTGTCAACTATCATTTTGCAAAGAAAAATTTCAAAAATTTTAAAATTTGATCATTTTATATATCTTCATATGGAGCTCTTCTTCTAAAGGAGATCAATATAGTCTAAAAATGGCCACAACCCCCCAGCCTCTTTAAAAGGTCCTAAATATAGGGAACCCCGATCCTTCAACTGGCGTCGGAATTTCATAAATATTATGGATTCTGTAGAGGACTACGCCAGGCGATGGGCCAGACATGAAAAAGAAGACCTTGACACTTTGTCAGAATGGATTAAATGTATCAGATGTATGTTAAAATCGCGCATAAAAAGATTGAGGGACAATATGAGAACCATCTAGCCTTCTGTATTCAATAACCCAGAAGTGAAAAAGAATTAGATAGATTACATGATCAGTACGTACTGGTCCCTGCTGACAAAGCAGGTGAGAACATTGTCTTTGTTTGTAAGGCTCATTATATTAAATGTATTTTAGAGGAACTTGGATTTAATTCTACAAGTGGTAATCCAACTTATACTCATAGTTCCCTTTCTAAAGAAGAAATTCTTTAAAATCATATGTCAGTTTTGAATATTTTTAATATTCCAAACAACTAAAATGAATTTGAATTACCATATTTATATTGGATTCTGAAACTTCATAAAAATCCTTACAAACAAAGATACATAGCGGGTTCCAGTAAATGTTCAACCAAGCCTCTTTCTTTACTCCTCACTAAGATATTAACAGTAGTGAAGGAGAAACTTCAAGAGTACTGTGCAACAATATATTCGAGAAGTGGTGTAAATCAGATGTGGATACTTAAAAATTCCAAGGAACTTTTCGAAAATTTGAAATCACAAGATTTTACTAAAATCAACAGCTTAAAAACTTACGACTTTTCAACTTTATACACAACCATTCCCCACGATAAATTAAAGTCCAGGCTTTTTGATATTATTGACAGATGCTTTTTCAATAAAAATGGAACTCGTAAATTTACTTACCTTGTCATTGGTCATTTGCAAAATTATTTTGTTAAAAAACATTCTGATTGTACACACAAGTACTCTGAAGTTGACATTAAAAAGATGCTTAAGTTTCTAATTGACAAAATCTATGTGGTTTTTGGAGACCAGTTCTTCCAACAATCTATTGGAATACCAATGGGTACCAATTGCGCCCCGTTACTAGCAGACCTTTTTTTGTATTCATATGAAGCAGAATTTGTCCAAAATCTTGTGCGTGAAAAGAAGAAAACACTTGCTGTGGCCTTCAACTCGACATTTAGATATATCGACGACGTATTGTCAATTAACAATGGCTATTTCCATTCTTATGTCGATACGATATATCCTTGTGAGCTTGAGATAAAAGGTACTACAGAGTCTGACACATCTATCTGTTTCATATTTGGATATTTTACTTGAAAAAGACGTTAATGGTAATCTAACAACCAAGCTTTATGATAAACGTGATGACTTTAACTTTCCAAAGAACTTGCGGAATGATGACTTTAAACGAGACAGCTGATATTCTTGTTTCATCAACTTGTTTGTCAATAATTTACCTCGTTTTAGAAATTGTACATACGTAGAACATGCTCTTGCGTATCGAATCAACTGAGAGATATAAACCCCGTATGCAGGTGATGAAGGTATATTGCTGCATAAGTCAGGGAAATTGACGATTGAAAAGTTAAAGTCATCACGTTTATCATAAAGCTTGGTTGTTAGATTACCATTAACGTCTTTTTCAAGTAAAATATCCAAATTTAAAACAGATGTGTCAGACTCTGTAGTATCTTTTATCTCAAGCTCACAAGGATATATCGTATCGACTTAAGAATGGAAATAGCCATTGTCAATTGACAATACGTCGTCGATATATCTAAATGTCGAGTTGAAGGCCACAGCAAGTGTTTTCTTCTTATCACGTATAAGATTTTGGACAAATTTTGCTTCATATGAATACAAAAAAAGGTCTGCTAGTAACAGGGCGCAATTGGTACCCATGGGAATTCCAATAGATTGTTGGAAGACCTGGTCTTCAAAAACCACATAGATACTGTCAATCAGAAACTCAAGCATCTTTTTCAAGCATCTTTTTAATGTCAACTTCAGAGTACTTGTGTGTACAATCAGAATGTTTTTAACAAAATAATTTTGCAAATGACCAATGACTATGTGTTCCGAAGCCCAAGCGCATACTTCTAAAAATTAAGAAATCGCTGATTTAAAATTTAAAGATAATCAAAGAATGCAATTACTTTACGGTTTTTAAGTTTTGTGAAAAATGAAGAAGTTGAAGATAACGAACAGTGAACGATGTAAAAAAAAAAAAATGTATAAACAATACACATCTGTGAATAAAAAATATCTGTGAATATAAAACACGGTCACCCGGACACCAAGATGCTGACCAATAATTCTCCAAATATATAGATATGTGCCATTGTGTAATGGTGAAATTGTTTTAGACAAATGAGTCTGAACAATGTAATTTTTTTTTTCATTTGTAAATTCAATTTAACATACATTTCCATTAAAATATGCGTATCTACTTTAACAATTAATAACGAATCTTTTGCAACTCCTTATGGTGTTTTGTTATATTATATTGATTGATTTATACATGTACAATAATAAATGTAAGACAACATAACACAATTTATTTGCAAATTAGAATAAAAGTTTTCTTTTTTACCCCAAGTGTTATATATTATAATACACATTCTACTTCTAGAGTGAATGGAAACTTTCGTTCTCCTCATGCTCTTAATTGCCTTCTTGTCTTCACGACGTCTCTAACAGTAGAATGGTCCTGTTTAGGTTACTGCTTCATACACCTGAACCATCAGTCTGCTACATAAGCCTATCAAACAATCTCAATAACATTGAAAACATGTAGTCGTAGATGCCAGATCGCCGCAGCATAGAAGATACAGCTGTAACAATATGTTTCAATCTTGAAACAAATTTTAATAGCAATATACTCGTACATATTTTCAGGATAATGAAAAATATGCGGAACAGTCAACGTGTTCTTTCAGTGTTGCATAATAAATTTTTATGTTCTTTTATCTGATTTGTGTTTAAAAAAAAAGCATATGAAAGATTTCTATCAAACAGAATCAAAGAATATAGATATACAGTTTTTAAAAAGTTACGTTTAAGCAATAAGTACTCAATACTTTCTACGTAACTTCTCAATATTTTTATCTGTATATTGTAGGAAATAGACAATTAATTTCAATGCAAAATATTTTAGGTCAGTGGAAGATTTTTATCAGTGCCCAAGTGTGTGTTAGTTCAGATGTGAATGAATGGAACAATAACCTAGCATATATTTGATTAACATTGTACTTAACTAATTAGGTTGATCGTAAATATTTATTTCTCATTAAGTGTACATTCATCGATAAAATAGTAAAAGAGCTCATTTGTAATTAATATAATTAATTTTCAAACAAATCAATAAATCTTTTCAGTTTTCAAGTAGTTATCAATTTTACAAAAAAAGAAACGGATTGATAAGATCTCATTTAACACAAAAACATAGAACGTCAAGGACCAAAAATGTTTATTTATTTAAATATCACCTTATTTGTGCGGTTGCTTGTCGTTGATTTTATGCTGGCATTCGGATGCAAAACGAACGTTGTTTTCGAGCACGACAAGAAAATAGTGTCAGATACACTGTATCAGATCCCCGGTATTGGTTTAAACATGTGTGCTGCTGAGTGTATGGCTAACACGGAGTGTCTGTCCGTTAACTACAATACGAAGTATTTCATATGTTACCTGAATAAAGAGGACTCCAGCATAGAAAATGCAAAGCACTATTCTTCTGTGACCAAGAGCCAGCTTCAGATTGTATGCAAGGTATGAGAAGAGGGAGGGAGCATAGATTACTGTATATATCTGAAACATTTTGACGTTCACTAATCTTTTCTGAAATAGAAATGGTGCATAATTTGTCTACAAGGGTAAATTGTTATCGCATTGAATATGGAGATAACAACAGTATTCAAGCTCAAAAGTCAAATTAAAACAATACAAATCAGGAGCAGAGCAAACACGGACCTCTAAAACATCAGAGATAGGATCAGGTGCCATGGAGAAGTGAGCATCCCCTGCCAACTGGTCACACCCGTCGTGTGCTCATTGCCATGATCGGAAAAAACAGAAAAAAATCCGTAGACAATTCAGTGTTCAAATAATAACCTAATAATTAGTATGAAAAACTCCAGTCAGCATTTGTCTTAATGATAGATTGTATTTGCTGACATGGTCATTGTATCGACCATAGAATTTGCAAAATGAGGACTTCAACAAGACTGATGATATTCTTGTTTCATCAGCTTGTTTGACAATAGCTTGCATTGTTAAAGAAATTGTTCGTACGTTAAGCATGCCCTTGCGTATCGAATCAACTGAGAGACAAACCTCATATACAGGTGATAAGGGTATATTGAAAAGTTGAAATTATCACGTTTATCATAAAGCTTGGTTGTCAGTTTACCATTAACGTCTTTTTCCTGTAAAATACCCAAATATGAAACAGATGTTTCAGACTCTGTGGTATCTTTTATTTCAATCTCACTGGGATATATCGAGTCGACATATGAATGTTCCAAGTAACTATTGTTAATTGATAATACATCGTCGATATATCTAAATGTCGAGTTGAAGGCCACAAGTGTTTTCTTCTTTTCATGTATAAGATTTTGAATAAATTCTGCTTCATATGAGTAACAAAATATGTCTGCTAATAACGGGGCGCTATTGGTACCTATGTAAATCCTAACAGATTGTTGGAAGACCTCGTTTCCAAAACTACATAGATACTGTCAACAAAAACACAAGCATCTTTTAAATGTCAACTTCAGAGTACTTGAAAAAGCAGCTTTTTATGATGTCAAAAAGCCTGGACTTTAATTTATCAAGGGGAATGGATGTATAAAGTGATGAAAAGTCTTACGTTTTGATGTTATGGATTTTGGTAAAATTTTGTGATTTCAAATTTTCAAGATTCCTTGGAATTTTTAAGTATCCACATCTGATTTACACAACTTTTCAAATATATTGTGATGCAGTACTCATGAAGTTCTCCTTCACTGCTGTTAATATTTTAGTGAGGAGTAAAGAATGAGGCTTAGTAGAAAATTTACTGGAACTCGCTATGTATCTTTGTTTGTAAGAATTTTTATGAAATTTAAGAATCCGGTAGGTATGGTACATATAGAATGATCGGGTAAATAAGTGCTGGCTCCCATTGTTATAATTTGAAATCTATGTCCCGATATTCTTTTATTAAGTGAACCCTTTGTTTCACCAACAAAAATAAGCCCACAAAGATTCATTCTATTCCGTAGACAACATGAAATAGGGAACAATCTTGTAATTTAATGAAATCAGAAACAAAACATTTGTTATTTTGTAAAACCAAGAAAAATTTTGTTATAAAGAGTATTGGTAGGATAAACTGGGAACCATTATGCTTCCAAACGAAATACTAGTACTTTAAATAATTTTGTAAACAAAAAATGCGAACACTTTGTTAGTATAATAAAAGTGTAACCAGAAACAATTTTGTAATTAACCCAAACCAATAATGGTATTGTTATTATATTATATTAAACTAAACCGAGAACAATCACGTACATTTTGTCATCAAGTGAAAATGGGAACATTATCACAAGAATAATAAAACTGGAATCATCATAAAAATATACAGTGTATTGTGTAGCGTCATGCACATGCCTATCTGTAAATAATAGAGAGGTTGAGATTTCATACGTGTACGGGTACGTCTAGTAGGGGAATTCCCTAAATTCTTGCGTATTACGTCATCAGTTTTTGTGTTGATAAGCTTTCTACACGTTCTTACAACTTGTAAAAAAGCATCTACATGTAGGTGTAAACTTGTAGCTTTTTCAATTAAAAAAACTAGTCAATTTATGTGTGAAACTGTTATTGTTGTTAATTATTTAGGATGTTAAATTTTATGGACACTTATTTTAACCATGTTTTGTTCACTAACTAAAGTCAAACTAATGTCACAAAACTACTAAATAGTTGAAACAGAGACACCGATTACAGTCTACACGTTCATGTTACACGTCATTAAATCTCAGCAGACAAATTACAAAAAACGCGTACGTGTACGTCAAAGTTTGTGCACACGTACAAGTTTAAAATCTCAACCTCTCTATTGAATAATACAATGTCATATTTTTCCAGGATTGTTTGAAATCTTGCGATCTGTCATGTCCTCCAAGAAACAAATGTATAAAGTCCACTTCCGGTGTATCTACCTGTATCCCGTTAGGTGAGTACGAATACTAACAATTACAGAACTACCAAACAGGGCTTGCAACATGTTCTCTCTACATAATATTCACGTTTCTGTTGTTTAGTATTTATTTATTTTGTACATATGACCGATCCTGTTTATTTTGTAGACTGCGGGCCTCTTCCTTTGCTTGATAAAGGTAAAAAAGACAAAGGCCAGGACAGCACAATGATTGGCTCTGAAGTTACCTTTTCCTGTGATAAAGGTTACGCGCCAGACGGTCCATTAACTATAACATGTTCAGCCAACGGCCACTGGACACTGATTGGACGCTGTTTAAGTAAGTTGCACTGCAATAAAACCGAATTTATTGTTTATCTATTGAATATCTAAATTTCCTTTATATTTTACTCTGATAGGAAAATAGCTCGAACGGATACAAATGATTACTAAATATATATATAGATATTTTACTGCGTGCTTGAAATGCATATTTCATTGCCATGCAATATACTCAAATTTTTTTTTTACAATTCTTAAAGCATCATTTGATATTATTATTGAAGGGTGTGGCCATATTCCAGAGTTACAAAATGCAGAAACAAAGGATAAGAATCGGGCATACAATGCCGTTGTAACGTATACATGCATCGAATGTTATGAGAATGTTGGAGATATTTCGATCACTTGTCTCGCAAATGAAACATGGAGTCCAATAATGGGTTTTTGTAGAGGTAAGTACTAAGATACGTTTTTTTTTTTTAATGAACGCATTTTATTTTATTTTCAAATACTAGTAAGCGTGACAAAAGAAATTTTATCAGAAAATAAATTACAATACAGTGAAAACTGTATTATACGATACCTGTGCAATCCATTTTGCTGTGAATTGAAAAAGAGAGACTGCCTGTCACACATAAAAACTAGCAGGAACAAACCCTCTCCCCCCTTTTTTCATAAAAATTCCTGGATCCTTTCCTGCACCTACGTAATTGTACGCTAAGTATACTTCCTAATGAGTTCAAACATGAATTTTATCGAAAAATTCAATTCCACAACGAATGAAGGTTTCTGAAAACTATAACTGATCGGGGGCCGTGTTCCTTGCTAATTGGTCGATTTATAATTTATTTGTTTCGCCGGAATATCGATCTAGGGCATTTCAAAGTTTGACTGTCCGATTTGAAAGTAGCATCTTTTCGTCTTTTCTTAAATAATTTTATTTTGTAAAATAAAAAAAAATTAACATGACTACATGTATTTGCAATTTTTTTATCTAACAAAAAAAAATATATGTCAGGAAAGACTTTAGGAAGAGGGGGCGGCACATTTAGGATTTATGGGATTTTTTCAGACATGTTAGTTACGTGCAACAGTCACCCTCCATCTATTTCCAATGCAGTTCTTAACTCTGGTTACGATAATTTCTGTGGTGCAACTGCAACGTATACTTGTGACGAAGGATACAAAGGGAACCCGAGCTCAGAATGTATGGCTGATGGAGCATGGCACATACACGGACTATGCAAGGGTATCACAATGTACTAGTATCTTTTTCACTATATTCTCAAAATAAATGTATATGCATATATGTATTTTCGTAATTAAGAAGATCGCTCCGTGAACGGAAGGTCGTAGGTTCAATCCCGGCTGCGACTGACCTATGTCGATAAAAAAAAATAAGTAGCAACTATTCCTCCGCCAAGCGCTCGGCACTTTGAAATGAAAGTTGCGGGTCTTTCGGATGAGTCCTTAAAACCGAGGCCCCGCATCACAGCAGGCGTTGGCACGATAAAGATCTCTCATTACTCAATTGCCCCGAATGCCGAGTAAAAGATCTAAATTTGAAGCCCTTAACCGGTATATGGTGACGTCTATATATGAGCGAAAAATTCTTGAATAAGATCTATAACAACATGCAATTAATCAATCTTAAGTCAGAAAATGTTCTATATATCTAAACAAAAATTAATCACATTCTGATACTTTTTAAATTCGGATCACTTGGTATTATACAGTTCAAAACAGGAAGTTGTTTAACCTTTGCAACAGATACTTTTTGATAATACTAGACTTTGACCCGTGCGTGCACGGGATGACATTGTTATAAATGCATCCATGTGCATATCGGACATTCATATATTGTAAGGTACTTTTGAAATAAACAATGAATGTGAATATAATTCTTTTTTTTTCTCTTTTTTTTTTGCAAAAACGGCGTAGCGCAGAATGGGTTTGACCCCCCAGTTAGCTATAAATCAAGTCATGAGTTCGAATCACGCCGGAGCTTACATAAATTTCACCTTTCCAAACAAATTTAATAAAAGAAACTATTGATATTTATTGAAAATATGACAACAACAAAGTGCTGAGCACTGCTGATACATATCAAGCAAAGTAATGAAAATGAAAATGAAGAAATGTGTTTAGCTGGTATTTTTACACAATTAGTTATTAAACTAAAGGTGTAAAAATTTTGGTAATAATTTTAACACTGCAGGTCTCAACATGTTCAAAATATGACCTCAACAATAAAAGAGTTATTAAGCACTGCTAATACATATAGTTTATATATACTCAGGTAATAGACATGTATATAATCTGTAAAAGCAGAAATGAAAATGGACAAATGTGCTATACTGGTATTTCTACACAACTTAGCAGATGTGAAGCAGAACAGATTATCTTGCAAATAATCCCCCCCCCCCCACCCAAAAAAAAAACATACTGGTTGTTCAAGAGATCATAATAAAAATTAAGAATATCAAATGTACATTATATATGATATAAGAAAATGCTCTCATGACTGTCTGTTTTGATAAAAATTAATGTAATATCCTTGAATTAGTATTATTTTGAATCGATTCGATTAAAACAAAAACCTCGGTTTTTGAATAATTTTGATTCGATTTTTGGAAACAATATGTTTGCTTCAGTTGTGTTTAAACCTGTTATAGTTATTGAAAATTCGAAATAAACAGTAACCAATTTGAAAGTTTTTTCATCTTTTATGATTCAACAAATGTAATGTGTTTTACTTTTTAGCTCACCTGAGCTGAAAGCTCAAGTGAGCTTTCTGATCACATTTTGTCTGTCGTCAGTCTGTCTAGCTGTCTGTCTATCTGTAAACTTTTCACATTTTCGACTTCTTCTCCAAAACCACTAAGCCAATTTCAACCAAACTTGGCACAAAGCAATTCCTTATGTGAAGGGGATTCAAAATTGTTAAAATGAGGGACCACGCCCTTTGCCAAGGGAGATAATTAAAAAATATTGAAATTTTTTGGTAAATCTTTAAAAATTTTCTTCTCAAGAACCATTTGACCAGGGAAGTTGAAACTTAAATGGAAGCATCCTCAGGTAGTGTAGATTCTAAATTGTTAAAATCATGACACCCAGGGATAGGGTGGGACCTCCATGGGGGTTTCGAAAATTTACATAGTAATATATAGGGAAAATCTTTAAAATCCTTCTTCTCAAGAACCTTTTGGCCAGGAATGTTGAAACTTACGTGGAAGCAATCTCAATTTCGTTTAAATCTTATCATGACCTTTCATGACCCCTGGGGGTACGGTGGGGCCACCATGGGGGAGGGGTATCCATGGGAGTATTTATAGGAAATTTTATGAATTTTCTTTTCCAAAACTACTTGACCAGAGAGGTTTTCTGAAATGTAAATTCATATAATGTGCATTCAGATTTGATGATGACGATCACAGCTGGTCATGATAGGGTACAACCACAATGGGAGAGGGGGGAACAGAATATTTACTGTAAATTTTACATATGAAAATCTTTGGAGAAAAATCTCAAAGTTAGAATATATATCAAAAACTCAATATAAAAAACTAAATTTGTTCAGATATTTCTGATTTGTTAAAGCTGTTTTGGTTAGAGTAATTGACCATATTTGCTCAGGTGAGCGGTGTGGCCCATGGGCCTCTTGTTTATACTAAGTATAAAATATATGGGAAGCATAAATTATCATTATCTTAGATAAGCCAAGCAAGGGTATTCTAAGTAGGAAAGTAGGAATTTGAAGGTACTTCTTGCTGCAATAATGAAGCCTTTTCCTGGGGGTGGGGTACAACTCTTTTTGGATCATACAATATCATTTTCCATTTTTTAATTGAAATCATACAATGTAATCAGGAACATTTTAAAATAAATGTTTCTAATGTTATTATTCAGAGCATAAATTTTTCCAAAATATCACGGGCGGATACAGGATTTGTGATTAGGGGGGGCGTGGATAACTTCGTTTAGGCAGGGGGTCTGGGGGCCGCCTTAAGGCCCCCAGTAGGTCCAGGGCGAAGCCCTGGTGGGGGCCCAGGGGGCGAAGCCCCCGGAAGCTCCTGGGTTTTCGTGTATTTTAAGAGTAAAACCAGGCACAATAATAGTGGTATTGGTTAGTTTATATGTACCAAAGTTTGGCATTATTAATACTAGTCATATCATACTTTGAATAGAGGGGGCCCAGGGGGCGAAGCCCCCGGAAGCTCCTGGGTTTTCGTGTATTTTAAGAGTAAAACCAGGCACAAAAATAGTGGTATTGGTTAGTTATATACCACAGTATGGCATTATTAATATTAGTCATATCATACTTTGAAAATTTTAGGGGGGGGGGGCGTGCGCCCCCCACGCCCCCCCCCCTTAAATCCGCCAGTGAATATTTAGTAAAGTTTGAGTTTAGCGCAAATTTTAAAGTTTACTGACCTTTACCGATTTTATTTTGGGACAGCCAATGAGAATTTGGGAGCGGATCTTGAACTGAATATGGGAATATTTCCTACTTCATACGTAAATAATGCAGCAAAAATAAAATACATACCTCATAAACATTTATATATCTGTTTAGTGATAACAAAAATTAATCTACTGCAGTATTAAACGTTTTCAATCAAAAGTCATTTCATCACATGAGAACTGTCATGGCTGCTGAAGAAGACAACTTGTTTTCACGCTGGTGTATTTTTTCTTGTGGCGATTTAATAAAACATAAGTTTGTTTGCTACGATTAAATATAATTCATTCCATCATTGAATAAATATTTTTACGATCTTAATTTTGTCCCACCTCATAGTTTTGAGATTTACTATGCATGGATTAAATTTTACAAACAATCGATATTTTAGCAGCATTGAAAGAATGAACTGTACGGGCCGCAAGAGCTGACTTCAGACTACCTATCAAGCGTAGTTACCACGACAACCTTTACATATTTAGAAGAACAGGCTGTCCCTTCTATATAACGTACCGAAGATCAATAACAATAATTTACATATTTCACCCACTTTTTTTTTTAAAGTTAAAGAAATTTTTGGAGGTGAAGTTATAAATCTCAGCAGTGAAGGTAATAGTAAACATGGCGAACAAATTCAAGTTGCAATCATTTAGACACATTTCAAATTGAAAATATCGGTTATATTGAGGTTATTTAATTATTTCGATTTATTTCAAAGTTAAGAAATGAAAATAATGTTATTGTAATTTTTGGCGGAAAAAGAATGCCTACTTCACTAAGATGTGATTCTAGCTGGAGTTGTAACACCTCCCCCCCCCCCCTTTCCCCTCAAAAAAGCATAAAAGAAAGGAAGGATAAAATAAAATCGGGTAGCTACATTAACATTGCTCCTACGATCTTGAGCTTTTTGCCTCCGTTGAGATGACCAGAGACATAAATAACATATATTATTATACCTCTACTCTTATTACTCTATATAAAATTAATACCATAAAACTGTCTATTTCCCCGAGAAAATACTATTTCTCCCATCTGAGGACTACTCCCTGAAAAATCAGAGCTACTACCTGGGACTACTCCCTCATGAATATTTATTATTAATTTTAACCAATTAAAATGAACAGTGGGCGGAGCGTTCAAGGAATCTCGAGTCCGTGACGTAATGTTATTAGCAATGTAACTATGACGTCAAAACATTTCGACATGCGATGTCAAAATCATACTTGAATTTCTAAGCAAAAAGAGGACAACGCTAATCCTTCGAAATATTAGTAAAATTTATTATTATTATTATTTTTTTAATAATTTTAATTTTTCCGTATTGATGCATTACATATTTAACAAAATCGGAATCGCACGCATTTATTATTATTTTTAATATATTCGATCAGTGCATATTATCTATTCAAGATATATTACTAAAGTCAGGTACTCTTCACACAATTGCTCCGAAGAAAATAGTTCCATTCATGATCAGTAGATAAAACATTACAACAAATATTAAGAATAATGATGTATATTTAATACGTTAAAGAAAACAAAATTAACATTAAAAGATTTTAAGAAAATCACTTTTTCCCCAGAAAAGCAAATAAAAAGTTTTCATATTCCTACGCTCGCTGCCTCCTCAGTCTTTTTCACGAAAATATATAGGTCACACTTCGATTGATAATTATAAATCTTTTCACCAATTATATTACTGTCATGATTATTGTTCGTTAATTGCCGTATATTTTCTTTTGAGTTAGAATGTTAATCATTAACTGTGTGTTTTTTCTCTCTTTTTTTAAATAACGGAATGGTTATTATGGTTAAACACTTTTCGGCAAAGCAACGTGATTTTCCGAGCTCGGAAAGATCTTCGCACGTGTGTAGACCTAGGCTATTTGGTCTTGCAAGAACAGGTGTGTGCACCGTTCCCTATAAGTGACGCTTAGATCAGTAGACTGGGTATCAGTACTTTCTACAGACATAAAGAAGTTTAGAACTATACACCAGTTTCATAACAAGTGCAGGTTTTTACTCAAGGTGAAGCCGTAGACTGGGCTAGAGGGGCTGAGTTATGGTCATCGATCTAACACGAAAATGTACTATTTTTGTAAATAAAAACATTTCTAGAAACAAAAATGAAGTTTATCTTCAAAACGTCTGTATATTCAAAATCAGTATATGGTGGAGGAATATTCAGTGATGCTCCATAGCCGCAACCGATCTCGCGCTTTCCTTTGCGTTTAACAACGGCCGTCAATGCATCAATGGACGAGTTCATTGATTAATCTAAAAGGTGACAGGTTGGACCATCTTTAACATCTGCCTATACCTTGAGTGATAGTACTTTTTAATAGCACAAAATTAAAAAATAAATTAAAATCTATCCTTGATAGATCTAAAGTTTTGTTATTTATGAAAATGGGCTATCTTTGATAATTCATAACGGCTTGGACTTGTTTTGATTTTTTTTTTTACAGAAGTTTCTATCATTGGAAAGTTAGATGGTACACATGTAGCACAGGCCCATAGTACGCGGGATTTTTTGGGAGCCCCCCCCCCCCCTTTCACTTTGAAAACGTTGCTATAGGCCTGTAACATGCTATTTGGATTAAATATTCCTGAAAATGAGTGAGGTGTTAAATACATTTTCAAAATTATACGATTAATTATATTTAGTTTATGTTCTATGTGAAATTAAAACTATTTTTATGCATGTGCAACTTTGTGATAAAGTCACTACATGCATGTAACGTTATATATGTACATTCAGTTTGTTTCCTACTATATGCATATTTTATTCAACAAAAGATGTAGAAACTCAGTAGCCTAAATATTATGTCATTTTAGGATATTTATGTATATGGCACTTTTATAGTTGACTTTCTACAGCTTGAGTATCTCTGACGTTTTGTCAGTAAATACTTGTTTTTTTTTTTTTATTAGAAATCATCTGAACACAATGAAAATTCGAATAAATTAAAAGTCGAATATCTTGGATATGGGGTAACCCATATCTATTCTTGTTATAAATGCCCTTATATTGTTTTAAAAATGTCTAAGTCTCTATAGTTAATCTCCTTTGTTTGTTTCGGTATAATAAAACAGTTATGGAATGGGTACTCGGGAAATAGCAAATTTATGGTTCCCCGAGGGAGGAAACTATTTCCCTCGGGGAACCATAAATTTGCTATTTCCCTCATACCCATTCCATAACTGTATATTATATAGTCTATAAATAGTCCCTATATAATCAATACAAACGCAAACAGTTCATATTATTATACCTCTACTCTTATTACTCTATATAAAATTAATACCATAAAACTGTTTATTTCCCCGAGAAGATACTTTTTCCCCCATCTGAGGACTACTCCCTGATGCGATGTCAAAATCATACTGGAATTTCTAAGCAAAAAGAGGACAACGATAATCCTTCGAAATGTCAGTGAAATTATTGTTTTTTTAATTAATTTTTTTTTCGGTATTGATGCATCATATATTTAACAAAATTGGATTCACATGCATTTTTGATTATTTATATAAATGCCTCTATATTGTTTTAAAAATGTCTGTCTCTAGTTAATAAATCTCCTTTGTTTGTTTCGGTATAATAAAACAGTTATGGAATGGGTACTCGGGAAATATCAAATTTATGGTTCCCCTCGGCAGGAAACTATTTCCCTCGGCGGCTTCGTCGCCTCGGGAAATAGTTTCCTCCCTCGGGGAACCATAAATTTGCTATTTCCCTCATACCCATTCCATAACTGTATAATACTACATATTCACTGGATTTGAAGCCGTATTCACCGGAGGGTCAGTGCGCGTGCCGCGGCATTGTGACGTCACAATCAATACCTAAAACAACATTGAAAACAATGGTTGTAACGGCCGCAGCCAGCTGTATATCTGAGCAGGAAAAATTTTAGTCAAATTTCTCGTAGGATTATTTTACAAACATTTCGATGTCTTACACACAGCAAAAGGAAAACACAGAAGTTAGAAGTTATAATCTGGACATTTTTTTTTTCTACGACAAAAATTCGTTAATGAAAATGGAGTCGTCATGCAGCCTTCAATGTCTTATTCATTCAAATCCTGACTATATAATAAAGCAATTGTTGACTCTTTCGGTGGTGAATATGGTTTGTTACCTACGATCATGAGCTTTTTGCCTCCGTTGAGATGACCAGAGACATAAATAACATATAATAAATGTGTCTTCGAGATGGCGAATGATTACCCACGTGGCACAATATCACATTTGCATGGATAAACTCAGAAACATTAATACAAATACGTGTAAATTTTCATTGGAAATTTGACATATATTTTGTTCATATATATTTATGATTTCTTATTAGAGAAAATTATAAAATAACAAATATATATCTACTTAGTACAAATTACATTTGTCTTCGCTGATTTGAACACCGTGATTTAGCGTGAATGTAATACGCACGCGCAAGATTGTAAAATCCAAAAAATCCAGATGATTTCCGGAATTTTTTGAGGAATTTTCGTTGATTATTGATTAGCGAAGCTTAATTGAGAAAAAATAAAAACAAATCGGTATCTCTTCAAGTACCAATGATGTTTAAAATATATAAAACAAACGACAGGTAACTCTTCCGATTTATCAGTATTAAAGGCCAAAAATTCGAGTCTATTATTTTAATATAGTAGTATAGATTTTTAAGCCTACTGTACAAGTGACTATGTAGAGGAGGAGCATAGAAAGGGAGAAGACATCCAATTTTGCTGGCGGGTGTTTACAAGTACCAAGACCTACGATGACGCCATGGCAGCATGTGAGAAGCATTCCTTAAACGGGAGACTACTCATGATCAACTCTAATCAAAAAAGGAACAGAGTGAGTTCGGCCTTAATGGAACGCTTTGGAACGCCAAGTAAGGTTTTTCCTAATGTATTTTGTATGAGGTGGAAGCTAGTTGTCACAAACCAGCAGCTAATAATCCAGTAAAATCTTAGCTGTCAAGTTCACCGCTCTTCATCATTTAAATAACACTGTAGGTCATTATTCAATGTTATTATTTTAGTCATTTATTGATCTTTAGATATTGGTTTTAAAAGTGACCAATATATTAAGAAGATACGAGTACTCTCTTACTTTTCATTATTCTCCCCCTTGGTGGTAGCTATTTGGAAAATCTCAAAAAAAGCTCAACATTATTTGGCTATTTTTATTATGAGCAAACGCGAGTTGCTTTAAGCACTTGTACTTGAAATTCTTCAAATATAGTATAATATACCAAATTTTTGCTAAACCTTATTTTCGCGAGACACTTGTTTTGGTATATTTTGTAAGCAAGAAAGAGTTTGGTTATTGTTCAGTAAAGATAAAGTTCTCGCGAATAGACATTAATCAGCAATACTTAAGGATTTTATTGTGGTATACGTTAAAAAATGCTTATTTGACTTTTTCACAGATAAAACTCTTAATTTCTGGGTAAATGGAAGATACACTGCATACGGAAACTACCACATATTCAGTAATGGTGGACTATATAGATACCACTTGATGGACGAACAACCAGATCGCAGCGGCAACTGTTTAGCGGTTTCGTCGGCGGGTGCTTATAAATGGAATGATCTCCATTGTAAGAAAGAGTTCCCCTTCATCTGTGAAGCTGCTATATACTAATCAACAATGGATGAATTTACTGCAACTAGTAATTCATCAACAATATATCCACCAGAAACAAATCTATCTGAAGTGAAGAAGTGAAAAAATGTCTTAACTTACGAACCAAATCGTAATACGAGATTCGTTTTTAATTTTGTTGTGTATTAATGAAAAAAAATTAAAGATATAATCCAGAAAATTCAGAGTAGAAATGTGAGAAAGCAAAACCAACTCACCAGTATTGTCAGTCAATGCTCAGTGATGTGTGCAGAGTTTAACAAATTAAACACACCCGATGAAACGTAAACATAAGCAATAACAGAGTCCTGCTTACAAATCAGTTTACGTTCCACCGGGTGTGTTCAATTTGTTGACGCCCGAAAACTATAATTCGAGGACCCAATTGGAAATAAGCCTTTATGGCTTTCATGGGTCATCCTCGGGAAAATGGCTATACACAGTGTCTATATTTATGTTCTTTTACACATATCGATATAATTTTTTTTAGTCTAGTCTCTTGATAAATAAACAAGTGGCCTGCAATGAATGCCAATATTACATGTATTAATGAAAAATGGAATCAGCTTGGTGATGATCTGGACTTCATCCTAGATTCTGAACTTCAAAGAGGCGCAAAAAAAAGGTCAAATCAAGGTCTTTCGGAAATCGTGGCAAGTGAACGCTTTGGTTTTGAGGAAGTGAGGGAGCACTTAAGAAAACTTGAGCGGAAACTGCAGCAAGAGGCAAACATTGAGAGAGGACAACCATTCAGATGCTTGCTTAGCATAGCATACCTTCCTGGACACGGTGTTTAAGTTTCTGGTAGCAGTGGCCGGGGGTGACTGTTTGTCCTGAATAAGGGCAACTCGGTGCATATGATCTCTGGTTGTCATAGGCTGACCACTAGTATAACAGTATAAAAGGGATTGCCATCTTGACTGATATTAAGCGCCTGAATATGGCGGTGTCTGTTCGATGACGATGGCGAACACCCACTTTATTTTGTAAATATTAGACTGACCATCAATTGTGGTTTCCCCTTAGCAAGGGGGGGGGCATATTTGTATATATTTGAGGGCCAATCATTTCATACAATCATTTTAAAAAGAAAATTATTTTTTTCTGTTATTAATAGCAAATTTCAAACTCTGAATCATCTTACTTTAAATAATTTTTTTTACTTTTTCTCTGGAGGAAAAAAAAACTCTTATAAAATAATCAAGAGCTAGTATCAGTCTTTCACTGCTGAAACATATTCTAAAAGAGACGTACTATAAGATCCTTTTTAAGGTTCATCACTCCTCAGTTCACTCATATTTAATTTTTCCTTTACACTTATGATTTTCAAAAAAAAAAAAAATTTATTTTTGAAATGCACACCATATCAGCATACCACGCGGGGCTGAATTTGTCAGAGATAGTATATTTTAACTTGACAATTTCAAAGAGGAGTGATAGTCATATCAGAGTACTGATGAACCTTAAAACTTAACCTGGCCCCTGGACCATAAAACTTAGACGAGCTCACTTTTGATCTCAGTCTCGCTTTTCCACTATACATGTATATTCCTTTTTGTAAAAGTGAGACTGAGATCAAAAGTTAACTCATCTAAGTTTTATTGCCGCGGAGCCTGGTGTAGCATTCCTCATTCAGCGCATATTCGATAAAAATAATCATGCATTTACTATTTACACACATATATTTAGACACTTTATCTTTAACTATTATATTTACATTTTACTTTATCATTTCCTGAAATTTTGAAAAATGAACTATTGTTGAACTTTTAAGAGACCAAGACATTATTAACCTAGGTACAATTTAACTCGATACCGCCTACTCTCACGTGACGACGATAGTAAACCAAAAGTAAAATAAAACTTGCAGAAGTAAAGAGGAGACATCATCCGAAGGTAAGATAATATTATAGAAGAGACTAATGAAAATAAAAATGTCATATCCCTTAAGAAATCTGTGCATCAAATGAATATTGTGAGCTGAACTGTTGGGTTGTCATGCACAGTCGCGAGGCTAGATGATTTATCACGATTATCAAGTAGGCTTAATTTGTCTGTCATACAAATAAGGCCATTGGTTTAACTCGGGGGGGGGGGGGAGGGGTTCGGATTAGTAAGTAATGGGTGACATAGTGCAGTTAAGTTGACAGTGCATCAGTCGATGTCGAGAGTTTTTTATCCTATACTATAGCCTTGTCGGTAACGGGATGTTTCGCACCTAAGCATGGTTCGCGCTGCGATGTTTCGCACCAATTCCGTTTCGCGCTCAGATGGTTCGCCCCACATTGTTGTACAAATATGTGCTAGCCTACTGAAGTTCGTTTAACAAAATTTTAGATTTTAAACATTTTATATGGTGTAAATTTTGATGTAAATTTTGAAATTTTTTGAAACATTTTTTTTAATTCAAGATTATATTTGTAGCAGAGACATAATTATTTATGTCTGTGTTTGAAGTATACATAGCATATGATTATGTATTATTTTAACACCATGCTAATTATAATACCGCCATCTAATTAAGTAATTATTGCTGGTTTGACTACCAACACGTCAATTAATAAATTCTCACCTTTCGATCTACAACTAATTACAATTAAATCCTCATGGAATATCCGTAATCTTTGGCAGTGCATACATGTATTATTATGCATTTCAACACACAACATCTATATATGTATATCTTATAATTGATAAACAATTTTTTAAAATGGATAAAAATGTCATGGAATATTTAAAATAAATCGTGAGATGTTTCGCACCTAAATCGGCGCGAATCATCCAGGCGCAAACCATCTCAGTGTGAAACAGAATGGGCACGAAACATCCCGGATTCGCCTTGTCCTACCAAAAATTAATTAAAATAAGGGTCTTCAGACGTTATTATTGAGGGGGCACAAGCATAAAGTAGCTATGTCGGCAAAATTATTGGGGGGACATATAACCCCCCCCCATTTCCGACAGTGCATCAGTCGATGTCTCGAGTTTTTTATCGTATACTACATGTATAGCCTTGTCCTACCAAAAATTAATTAACAAGGGAAAAGGAAAAATAAGGGTCTTCAGACGTTATTATTGAGGGGGCACAAGCATAAAGTAGCTATGTCGGCAAAATTATTGGGGGAACATATACCCCCCCCATTTCCTACAGTCATGAACTGAGCTGACTGGAGCATGACCTTGTCCCTTTATCATATGTTTATATTCCCATTTTCCACTGTTACATTTGGTGCTGTGCTATGCCCTGGAAGTAACATGTGAAATACCTTTCAAGGATGAAGGAATATCTGCCAATTGAATAGTGAATATGTGGTCTGTGGAGGCAAACACATTTAATGAAAGATGAATGCAGTGATGGAAGGAAGATAGCTAAGTTGGCAGAGTCCAGGAGGGTCCACTGGTACAAATCCTGGTCTGGTCCACCAACATTTCTCATTTCCAGTTATACTGAAATGCAAAATAAAAAATGCAACCCCATTTAAACGTAAATAATTTTAATATTTATAATTTATTGTTAGCAGTTTTGAATTGCAGGATATCATACACACTCTAAAGCAATGTTACAGTTGATTAAACTCGGTCACACTTTACTTGTCAGCAAGGCATCAGTATATACCCCAATTAGTATATGCATGGATACAAGCTACAGTTTTTCAAGTGTCACTCAGTCTGAACTGTTTGTTATTCTTCAGGTATATATAGTAAGAATAGTTTGTTATTAAAATTTGTTTATCATATTGAGTAGAGTATACCTAGGCTATCTAACAATGGATGCAATGGGGACAGTGTAGTTACTGTTGGCTGGAAACACCCAAAGTGATGTGGTGAGAGCACTGAATGTCCACAAAAGCACAATATCTTGTCTCTATACAAATGCCTTAGACTGACTGCAGGGTATTACTGCTGACCGCCATCAAACTGGCCGACCAAAGGAGACAATGCCTTGTTAGAATCTTTTCAAGAGATTGCAGCAATTGTGCAACTGGTTTAGAACTGCACAATAAACTGTAAATGAGAAACCAGAGATGCATAATCCAAGAATAAGCCAAGATACTGTGCTGAGGCGTCTCTGCTCATATGGCATTTCCAATACAAAAATGGGGGCTGTGTACTCGTTTGTTGATGAGTCAAGATTCACTCTTAATACCACTCAGATGGGCATCTGCATGATTTTTGACGTCCCAGTAAATGTTATGCCGATAACTGCATTGTGGAATGTGATGGGTTTGGTGGTGGTAGCATTATGGTGTGGGGCAGGATCTGTAGTGGCCACAAAACCTGCTTGGTCATCATTGACAGGCTCAGTGAACATTGACACTGTCCTGCAACCTGTCATTGTTCCAGTTTGTCCACCAGCAAAACTTAATTTTCCAACAAGACAATACCCAGTGTTGTGTGGCCACATTGTGCAATGAACTTTCTTCTCCAAAACAGTGTCGTAATTTAACTTGGCCCCAATACTGCTCTGATCTCTTGCCAATAGAGCATGTGTGGAATTTGCTAGATTGACGTGTTCAAACTCACCCAAATCCATAAGAGACTCTACCCGCTATGTGCCAGGCACCTCTGGAAGAGTGGCAGAACATCCCAAATCAACCGTGTAACGAGCTCTATGAATTGAAGAATTCAAGCAGCAACAAATGCTAATGAAGGGCATATTATTATTAAAGTAGGAAAATTTCAATGGTTACCTAACCTCTACAGCCTTGATATATTTTGCCAAAGAGATGATCAATGGATAACTTTGAATTTACTGCTCTATCCAATAGGAAAGATCTGTATCTTTTATTGGTTGTAAAAATTAAATGATGTATTTGAATGAAATGATAAAAAATTTACTGAAAATTGGAAGTAGCATTTCTTTTGCGTGTTTAATTAGTTTTTTAATAAACATGTTAAATATCCAGGTCTTGACCTTTGAGGTCAGAACTTTAAAACAAGTAGGTCATGGGTATAAATATAATTTAAATTTATTTCAAAATATACCGCGATATACCATCAAACAGTTTTATCGTTGCACTCTTACTACATCTGACTTTTCTTGACATGTTTTAATTATTAAATATTAATTTACACTGTTCATTTATAAACAGCAAATTTTAAACTCCAAAGCATTTTATTTGCAAATAAAACATTTTTTTTTACATTTTCTTTGAAAAAATACGAAAAAAAAAAACTCATATAAAATACGAAAAAAAAACTCATATAAAATAATTAATTAAGAGCGAGAATATCAATCTTTCCATGCTGAAGCAGTATTTCAAAAGATATGTCTTATATCATATCCATTAAATAAATTTTGGTGTAGCATTCCACCTTAATGGAAAAGAAAGATATCTAGTTCCTCATTTTATCAATTAAAACAAAATGACATTTCCCAATTGCAAGGGTAATAAAAGGACCCTGTACAAAAAAGTGTTTTTTAGAGATTATACACCAGGAACAAATAATTTAAAAAGTATATGTATATAAATGTTATTATTATTAAATTCCAGAAATAAAACATCCTAAAGCTATAAAATTATGATGAAAATTTTAATTTTATAAATTTATTCTTAAATCTGAATGGATAAATATTGGAATATTGTAGAATTTAAAAATCCAATGAATAATCTACTATGAGTTTTCCGTTTGGACACTACCCTCTGTTCCTAACAGGTATTCAGTAATTCCAGTTGAGCATTATTAATGCACAGCCATTGCATGTCATGTGTACACTCATTTACAGACTGGGACAAAATCTCTTGGCACGTAACCTCTCTTAGCAGATAAAAATAAAACAATAAGAATTATGATGTTTCCTCCATAGACATTCCCCAGTTTAACGTCAGTGGTAAATAAACTTTATATTATATATAAACAGTAAATATTTAAAGCAAATGATGGGATTGTAGAACATTCATTGATTAAGGTACTTAATGGATTTATTTGGTTTACAACAGATAAACTAAAAGTTTGCACAAGGAACAGTGCCCTGAATGTAAATCCTATACATGTGTATTTACATATTACAAATATCTGAAATCCAACAGCTATGTATTAAAGTAGTAAAAATAGCTTGTACTTACCCCCAGGTCATTTGAATCAAAGTTCAGTGCCCCTACAATGAACTTTATGGTCAATTCTCCATTTTTAGCTCACCTGAGCTGAAAGCTCAAGTGAGCTTTTCTGATCACATTTTGTCCGGCGTCCGTCTGTCCGTCTGTCTGTCTGTAAACTTTTCACATTTTTGACTTCTTCTCAAGAACCACTGGGCCAATTTCAACCAAACTTGCCACAAAGTATCCTTGGGTAAAGGGGATTCAAGTTTGTTCAAATGAAGGGCCACGCCCTCTTTCAAGGGAAGATAATTAGGAATTACTGAAAAAATAATGGCATCATTTAAAAATCTTCTTCTCAAGAACCATAGGGCCAGGAAAGGTGAAACTCATGTGGAAGCATCCTCAGGTAGTGTAGATTCAAGTTTGTTCAAATCATGACCCCCGGGAGTAGGGCGGGGCCACAATGGAGGATCAAAGTTTTACATAGAAATATATAGGAAAAATCTTTTAAAATCTTCTTCTCGAGAACAGCAAAGCCATGATGAGTCATATTCATGTGGAAGCATCCTCAGGTAGTGTAGATTCAAGTTTGTTCAAACCATGACCCCTGGGGGTAGGGCGGGGCCACAATGGAGGATCAAAGTTTTACATAGAAATATAAAGGAAAATATCTTCTTCTGAAGAACTGCAAACCATGATTAGTCATTTTGATATGGAAGCATCCTCAGGAAGTGTAGATTCAATTTTGTTCAAATCATGACCCGCAGGGGTAGGGTGGGGCCCAATGGGGAATGGAAAGTTTAACATAAGAACATAAAGAAGAAATATTTCTTCTCAAGAACAGAAAAGCTATGTTTAGTCATATTGATATGGAAGCATCCTCAGGTAGTGTAGATTCAAGTTTGTTCAAATGATGACCCCTGGGATAGGGAGGAGCCACAATGGGGGATCAAATTTTTACAAAGGAATATATGGAAATTTTTTTTAAAATCTTCTCAAGTACAACAAAGCCATTTGTTACATTGAGATGGAAGCATCATCAGGTAGTTTAAAATTCAAGCCCCCCCCCTTCCCCCAGTCTTTTCAATACTGAACTGATTTGTGCTTTTGCCTAGCCAATGTGCTCAGGTGAGCGATGTGGCCCATGGGCCTCTTGTTAAATTAGTACTATTTTATATAAGGCCTATTCCTTGGTGATCGATGTTTCACAGAAATTACCACAGATGAAAAAGGAATATACACACATGTAATTTTTAGGTCATCTAAGTCTGATGATCTTTTGACATCCTGTTTGTCATCTTATCTTTTGACATTCTGTTTGTCATCTTACATTGTCCAGCTTCCATCACTTGTAAACTTTTGAACTCCTTGGAACAGCCTGTTGAACCAGTTTAAATCATTTTTTAAAACTCAGTCTGATTCATAGCAGTCACTGTTTAACAGGAAGAAAATTTTAAATTTCATGCTCCGCATCCCAATGGGTATACTGTAAACATATTACATTTGGCTGTGTATGCTATTTAACTCTTTTCGCAGAAAGCAGCTTCCACTAAATCAGGTACATCACTAAATGTCTTGTGTATGTCTTCATTAACAGCATATTCAGAAAGCGATAAATCATATCCAACTTGTTCATTAAAAAATTTCCACCGAATATCGTACACACCAATAAACTATCAAAATAAATGCAGTTTTCAAAAAATCTTCTTTACATTGATATTAAGCAATCAAACTGTTGGCAGGATTATAATGAACAATAAAACCATTATCAAAATTATGAAGTTCAGGTGTCCTGGATAATAAGTTCAGTCCTCAAAACAGGGATATGTTGCTCATATGTATATTGAAAATACAAGCCAGCTTTCACAGATTTTCAAAATAAAAATAATTTAATGATTGTTTTGCACTTGGCTACAAAGAGAAGTTAGAGTGTGCATACATTGACTTTGAATTTCTCACATTATATCACATTCTCACAAGAGTTTTAAATTAAAACTACTATCTTGAATTTTAATAAATATATAATAGGAATATACATGCCATTATATTGTCATGAATAATCTTTTCTCTTCTATAAGCTTTCAACCAAGGTACATATAATATGTTTTTAGCTGATTGGTTGGAGAGTTGTTACTTGATTTAAAGTTTAGGTAATCTTGCTTGTTGTAATTATAAAGTCAAAGCCAGATTTTGTAGAAATGTAATAGAATGATGTTATTAAATAAAATTTCAAACAAGAACTATAATTTTTCTTTAGGGATGGCGGGATATCTAAATGCGGTGGTGAAGGGGGTTTTGAATGTTGTTGATGTAGCCCAAGCCAGCATTAAACCTTTCAAAGTAACAACTGTAAAGTTTGAGGATTATAAAAGGTAAATTAAAGAGTCTTCTTTTTCATTAAATCCTTTAAGACAGACCATATACATATTGAAGGGTTCTTAAAAGGATTAATTTTTCAACGTGGTTAATTTTTAGCTTACCTGAGCCAAAGGCATGAGTGAGCTTTTCTGATAATAATTTATCCATTGTCTGTTGTCTTCATTGTTGTAAACTTTTAAAAATTTCATCTTCTCCAGAACCACTGGTCAGATTTCAACCAAACTTGACAAAGAGTACACACAGTGTTCAATTGAAGGGCCTCTCCCTCTTCCAAGGGGAGATATTAAGAAATCGTGAAAATTGGATGGGGTCATTTTAAAAATCTTCTTCACAAGAACCACTTGACCAGAAAAGATAAAACTTATGTGAAAGCTTCCTGACATAGTGTAGATTCAAATTTGTTCAAATCATGACCCCCACCCCCCCTTTCCGCAGGTAGGGTGAGACCACTACTGGGGATCAAACTTTTACATGGGAATTATGAATATAATGGAACTATCTTTAAAAATCTTCTTTTCAAGAACAGCAAAGCCATCAGGTAGTGTAGATTCAGGTTTGTTCAAATCATGACACCCCCCCCCCCCCTGGGTAGGATGGGGCCACTAATGGGGGATCAATTAATCTGTTACATACTGAAAAAGCTTTAAAAATCTTCTTTTTCAAGAAAAGCAAAGCCTGGATTAGTCATATTAATACAGCAGCATCCTTAGGTAGTGTAGATTCAAATTTGTTCAAATCAAGTCTTCCAGGGATTGGGTGGTGTCACAATAGAGGATCATATCTTTAAAAGAAATATATAGGGACAAATCATTAAAAATCTTTTAAAGCTATGATAAATCAAAGAAATATGGAAATATGGAAGCATCCTCAGTTAGTGTAGATTCAAGTTTGTTCAAATCATGCCCACCCCCTTGGGGGGGGGGGGGGGGGGGGAGGTTGGGACCACTTATACATGTACATATTTAAACTTTTCAATATTGAACTGATTTATGATTTTCTCTAGTTGAGAAATAGTCTGTACCACACAGCACTTTGTTAAATAAATGCATGAATATCACAGCATGATTAATTTTAAAAAGCAACATTTCAATGTACAGATGTGTATTGATTTTATCAAAACCAGGTTACCTATAAAGAATGAAGATGGTCACATGACTTTGTTTCAACGACCTGGTTCTTTAGAATGCGTGCTTTCCAACAAAGTGATGTATAAAAGCTTCAGGTGAGCTTACTCTAATATAAATGTATCAATTATGATGCTGCAGAGCTTTCAAAAAAAGTAAAAAGAAAGTAAACATTCCTTTGCTCTGACATATGAAATAATAAGACTTATATATTGAAACTTTATCTTCAGTATATTCCGCATTACCAATGAGATTGATGCCCTTACCCAGTTTGAGCGTTACAGTTTCATTATCAACACTTTAGCAAATGCCAGCAGCTCTGTGTATGAGGAAACCATGCTTCAAAATATATCAGATGCCATCAAGTCAAATTTACACTGGAGACCAGCACATGTTGCGGCATTCGTTGGGTTATATGAATGCTTCCACCATAAAAAAATCCAATGGTATGTATTTGTTATATATGGGATATTGAGTTTTCTTCTAATTTTCCTATTACAGTTGAACTTTGGTATCTCGAACACTGATATCTTGAATACCATGGATATGTCAAAGTGATTTGGAAGTCCCAATCACTTATTCCTTAGGTATTTTACCCTGGATATCTCGAACCCTTGGATATCTTGAAGTATTTTCTTGGTACCATCGGGTTTGAGATAATGAGGTTTGACTGTATTTTGTATTGGTCCTATTGTTGAATGTATTATTATTGCTAATTATATCGTTTTCATTTACATTGTAAAAAGTTTTATCATTGGTTTGTTTGATATCACATGTCAAAGTATAGAAATGGAGATAAACTGACTCTTTCCAAGTATAAACATAAAAATCTTGGATAGACCTGCACTAATTTCTAATATTAGATTAGGAAAATTTTGTTGTAAAAATGAATGTGATTCCTTGTTGTAAGACATTTAAAACATTTAAACCAATCAAAATTCTTCTCCAGTTAATGTGGTTAATCAGCAAATACTTGGATTGACCAGTACTTTCTAATAATAAATTTTTCCTTAACATTTAGACAATCTTCCTTTAAAAAATAATGTAACAAAAAGCCTTTGTAGAAAATATATAACAAATATAGCCCTTCATTTAGTCAATTCAAAGAGGTATTGACTTCACAGAAAAGCATATCGACCTTGCATTTTATGCCTGGTCAGCATGCTTTTCTGTGAAGTCAATTTATCTATAGATCAACTTCCTGAAAAGGCTATTTTTGTATAATACATGTATTGGATTGTGATACACTAACTGCATATAAAACATTTCGAAATGTTTTGTTGTCTTTTACGCTGTAATTTGCTTTGCAAACATTGAATTTTAGTTTTGAAATGCTCTTTCCAACAATATGTATTTCTTTGCATGATGTCAGGATTTCAAGGTCTCCAAACATGCAGTTTTATGATACTGAAGTGCAGAGGTCTGAGTAGACTAGCAGGAAAAAGGGATCATCTAAAAAAAAACTTTCACAAATATGTATTAATTATTCAAAGGAGATGATAATTAAGATAAAATAATTTCCCACTGCACATGTTTTTTTTCCATTTTACCTTTCTTTACAGTTTGGACTTGTAGTATGGTAATACCTATAAGCGTGAATCAGTAGGACAATATATATAGTATTATTTTTATTTGGATTAGAATTTTTTGAATCATAAAATAAGTACCCAAAGTAATGTTTAATTAAGGTATATTCACCCTCACTAATTTATGGGTTCAAAACAAAAACGGCATTTATTTCCACTGAGTATAGTTTAAATTAATTAATAATCACCAAAAATATATAGGTTGCCATACTTTTAAGACGCAAGACATTCATAAACAAGAAGTATATGTCAGCATAAAAAATCGTACATTTTAGTAAACAGTATTATAAAAATTATGTAAAAACTGGTTCAAATACACATAATTTTGATGCTGAAACTTCCAAAATAATTGTTACTTTATAAATATGTTTGAATTGTGAATATCGGAGAAACCATTTTACATTAGAAGTACAATATAGAAAATGCCTGAATGAAGATACATCAGCAGGAGTTACTGCCCTTAGCAACATTTTTTAAGGATGAAATAATTGATTAAATAAGGAAAATATTCATTTTTTTTTTTTACTCTTTTACTTTACAATATTTTTCATTAAACCCACTGAAAAGCCTTATTTTGAAAGATATTTTTCTATCAAGTATGAATTTATATTAATAACAGTTTTTAAAAACCTATGACATCACAGGAGGGAGGAATTTCCTTAATACAAATTATAAAACAAACTTTAAATTACTTTAAAGCTGAATTGTACTCCTTTCAGTGATATCAACTATCAAGTGGAAAAGACTCAGTTATCTCCCTTAATGGCAGCCATCTTAGGGAAGCACACACAGTGTGTGACTGTTTTATTGGAGCTTGGAGCCAGACTGGATCTTCAGGATCAGAATGGGGAAACTGTCTACCATTATGCTGTACTTCACCACCCTGAAGTCATTCATGTTAGTACAGAGTCCTATTCAAATAGTAATTGGGTTCATGTTGTTAGCTCACCTGAGTTGAAAGTGTGTTGTTCATCTGTCCATCCATAAACTTTACACATTTTTGACTTCTACTCCAGAACCAAGATGGCTACCATGACGAACCTATGGGGGATTTTTTTATTTATGAAAAGAAAGGTTAAAAACATCAAGTGCCTGTGGATTATATAAGAAAAAAATCTTTAAAAATCTTCTCAAGAACAACAAAGCCATGATAAATCATGTTATTATGAAAGCATCCTCAGGTATTGAAGATTCAAGTTTATTCAAATCATGAACCCAGGGAAAGAATGGGGCCACAATGGGGAATCAAAATTTTTTCATAGGAATATTTAGTTTTAAAAAAAAACTTCTACTCGAGAACAGTAAAGCCATGATTAGTCATATTGATACAGAGCATTCTTAGGTAATGTAGATTCAGGTTTGTTCAAATCATGACTCCCAGGGTTGGGTGGGGCCACAATGGGGGATCAAAGTTTTATGGAGGAATATTTAATAGAAAAAAATTATTGATGAAGACCAGCAGGGCCATATTGACTCAGATGAGCATTGTGGCCCATGGGCCTCTTGTATTTTATTATTCTTCTCTGGCTTGGAAGATATTCCTTTGGCAGATATTGAGATTTTCTGTTGACTAGCTGCCCCATTCCTAGAGCAATAAATTAATTCCTCTTGTGGAAAGGGAACTGTGAAGGGGCTCTTCACTTTTGTTTTAAATTTTTATTTATTTTTATATTTTTAATTTATCTTTTTTTAAAAAGGATCGAAGCATACAGAATATTTCCTGAGAATAATTTAGTTTTCTTTAAGTCCTTTCTTTGCTGTATCATTAGTATTTAAGCATTTGAATAGAGGTTCTAAATTTATGTATGTACATGTATTTCCAGCCAGAATTTGTAACCTTTATAAAATACAGTTTTCATTGAAAATTATTTCAGTAATTTTATTTTAGATTTTGGTTTCAAATATTTGAAAATTGCAGATGATACAGGCACATGTAATTAGTCAAAAGTAGGTTATTAATAAGATTCTTAACCTTTATATATAAACTTTAAAATTTAAAAAGTACAAATATAGTTTCAATCAAGTAAATTTTTCAGATTTTAGCAGAACACGATAGTCCCAACAGTAATGACAAAGTCATTAATTATCTGAACAACAAAGGGATGACAGCTCTAGCCAGTGCCTGTCAGAAGGGGAAATCAGAGGTTGTGGAGGCCCTGCTAGACAGAGGGGCAGACCCTAATATTACTGCTGTAGACATGTATCCCATCCACTATGCCCTCAAGGCTGAGGACATCAAGTAAGATGATTTATATATCGTCAGAAATCAAGGAAATTTTGAAGCTCCAGTATGATGCATTAGTGAAATGACTTCAGATTTTTTGAATGTTTATTCTTGAGAAAAATATTTTCTGGAATTTTTAATATTTTGCTCGTATAGATTTTTACATAAAGTTTTCAATTATCTTAACTGACGGTTTTTATTTCATTATATAGGTCAGTAGAGATAATTTGTAAGAGGTTCAAAGATCAGCTTTCAGTGAGAGATGGAAAGTTTGGGGGCACACCAATGCACTGGGCCAGAAATAGACAGGTATGATGGCTTTAGGATTCAATGTTGAACATGCTTTTGATTTAAACATACTATGTTTGTTTTAAAATTAGGAAATAAAGCATATTTCATAAAATATCAGTGAGTACATGTAAATCAGAGTGTATAATAAATCGAAAACAATGCAAATTTATTTAAACATGTATTAATGGTGTACATGGATCTTGTACTTGGAGCTACTAGCCAGCTTGGAACATCTATTACTTTATGTCACTGTATGTGACTTTCATAGATGATTGAGAAATTATGTAGACTAAAGGCTGACATGAATGTGAAGAGCAACACAGGCCACACCCCACTGCAAATCATGCAGGAGAAGGGCAGAGCTGATTGTCTTATGGAACTGTTGTGTTGGGGAGCAGATCCCAGTATAGGAGATGATGAAGGAAACACCCCTCTACACAATGCTGTTCTTGTAGGTGACATACAAATCAATTATTCCACAAGTACAGAAAATAACAATGACTTAATTATAAGTTAGTAGGGAAACTAATGCTTTTTGTTTAATTGAATAAATCAAAAATGTGAACACATTTGATGTCATTGGGGGAGGGGACCCCTGGAATTTAAGAATTATTCAATTTCTGTGTTTAAAATAACAAAAAAAAACCTTGGAACATCCCCCACCCTCCAAGGAAATATGTACCCCTCTTAAAATGGAAAGGAGAATTGTGTATCTGAAGAAGATTGACTTATGAAAGTGTTTGCATCTCTCCTCCCCCTTCAGGATGTATGTAATCTTCTATATAATAACATGAAAGTATGGATATGATCTGACTTTATTATACTACTATAGAAAGATGATGAAGAAATGGTCAAGAACTATGTAGTATATGGTGCTGATGTTAATGTCAAAAACAAGGAAAACCAAAGTCCTAGACATTTAGCCAGTAATTCAAATGGTAAACACAAGTAAGACAACATTTATCTATTTTCTATAGAGTTATAGTCCTTCTTAATAATAATAATCATATAAAGACAGTATATTGTATTTGATTGGATGAGATATTTTTAAGAGTTAAATGGAAGTATAAGATTTACTCTTGACCTGGCTTACATTGCTTACTTATCCATGATTATAAATTGTACGATTGACACTCAAAAGAGGGACATGGATAATGATTTGATAGAAAATGTAGATTTTATAATATAATGCATTTGGAAATTACAGATACATGTACTTTCAAATACATAAATGTAGGTTTAATTGAGTGACTTTGAAAATTCTATGTATATACTTGTAATGATGAACTAATCCTGATTACTTCAGAGAGTTGATTTTGTACATGTTACATGTATCTGGTGCTACGAGATGTGATGCCCATATGAAGAATTGTCAAGATGGGTGCTTTGTGGACGGGGTCAGAAACGGAAAACCAGATGAACACATCACTGAGCTCCTAGAACGTGATCAGAGTGGTAAGTAGTCTGAGTTGTAAAAATAATGCATTGCAATAAACACATTAAAACTTTCAATGACAAAGTGAAAATCTTAAGATTTACTTGAGTGATTTTAAAGTGTGACAACTATGTACTTGCATTCTAAGCTTTTTATGTGGGAAATTCTCATAAGAATTTTACACACAAAATATATCATCAGAAGTAAACTTTTATATTTATAAGCATTTTTTCCCCTCTAATCTCTATTTAGGCCTTTTGGATGAAATGTTGTCATCAATGTGTGAACCATTTTCACAACAAGATGGATCAGAGAAGGATCCCGGGTACAGGGTAAGATAAATTGATTCTCTACAGTGCTTGTAAACTTCAAACGATTTCTTGAAATTTTGAAATTCTTGAATGAGAATCACCTATGAAAGTGTTATACACCATTGTATCATTGATCAGGATTTTATATATTTATATATGTTGACTCTCTCACAGCTCCTGTCCCTAGATGGTGGAGGAATTCGAGGAATTGTCCTTTGTCTAATGCTGATTGCCATTGAAAAAGAGGTTGGGAAACCTATCAAAGATTGTTTTGATTGGATAGCTGGAACAAGTACAGGGGGACTTCTGGCTCTGGGAATCTGCACAGGTAAAGAGATAAGGCCTTAATATCACAATGACAGCATTGAGGTTATATAGAGGATATTCAATGTTTTGTTGTTGGATGTGGAATTTATTTCACGAGTGGGACAGGATTTTTTTTTTTATATATTTTCACGAGTGCAAAGCACAAGTGAAAATATCAAAAAAATCCTGTCTCACAATTGAAATATATTCCATATCCAACTACTAAACATTGAATTTTCTGTTTATTACATTTTCTTTGATTTCTCTTTGCCTCTGTCTTTTCTTAACACAGTGTTATAGGTTGTGACGCCATGTAGTTGAGCGGTTAAGACGTCATAACATTGATTTTAGCAATATATTTGGGAGGAAATTTTCAGTTTTAGTCTCTATCAAGATGGTCTAGTTACTGTCTCTGTCTTATGGCAGGCCAGAAATCATTTCTACTTACTTTGATATCCTTTCACACTGTGACAGAATATCATTTTGGTATCCTTTCACACTGTGAAAGAATATCACTTTTAATCAACAAATAAATCACAGTATTTCACTATTGAAAATGTAATAAACTAAGTTACCTTTAGCAGGTTGTAATGGGTAAATATCCTGATTGGGGTATCATACTCTGAGTGGAATATTTTACCATGATTGAGGTATTTCTTCTACTCCAGTCAGGGTATTTTTCACAAATGTATGAAACCTATCGCAGACTGCATTTGATAGTGCTCATATTTTGTAATGTCACAGTGATAATGTTGTGAGATATCTTTATTATCCTTCTAGACTCCATTCGAGCTAGCACGGGTAAATAATCGTATATTATGATTTCGACTTTGATTACCTGCGCCTATTGTCTGAGACATTGTAGAAATGAATATGAAATTATTTTCACTTGCAGAATTATATGAAGTAAAATTTCACATTTCATGTGATCTGAGGTAAAATTTTCATATAGTTACAGGTTCATAGTAGTATATGGAATGTCATATTTGATAATGAGTACATTATGAAGCCAAGATTACCCCTTATGTTTCAGGTAAACCTCTGTCTTATATGAGAGGACTATATCTCAGGCTCAAGGATGAGGTGTTCATTGGATCGAGACCGTATCAGTCAGAGAACTTTGAAAACATGCTTAAAGAAGAATTTGGAGAGGACACTATCATGACTGATTTTAAGAAACCAAGGTGTGAAAAAGTTCATGAATGTACTGTGTAGGATTTTAATATTCATGCAAGCTTTTCCTGGTTCATGTTTATATACATACTAAATATGTTAATATATCACTTTATACATTTATGATGTATTTCTATGAAAATAAATGTCTGATTTTTTTTAATTCACCTTTTCTTCAATCTTTTAAATATTCATATTAAAACTAACATTTATTTTATATGATGAAAAAAATACTTAATATGCTTATAGGGCTGCAGTAACAGGGGTACTAGCAGACAGACATCCAACAAAACTACATTTGTTTAGGACATATGAACCAACACTGCATCAGCTGGAGGTTAGAGGTGTATGTCAAAGAAAGGGAAGTAAAAAGAAGAAAGATCAGACAGATTCTAAGGAGAAGAGAGAGTCCAGTCTATCCTCAGAATTATACTCCCCAGCTCATCCAAGTGGTAGGTTAAATGTGTAAAAGTGAAATGAACTTAGTTGCATAATGTCTATAAATCCAAAATATATCTAAACTTGAATGTGTCCCTTTGATTAAAATGTACTAAATTTTATTTAGAATAAGGATTTTGAAATAAATGCATGTACATGAATGCCTTGCTCCTTACAGACTTGAAATTACTTCAACCATTAAGGCTAGCATTCAGTCAGTCAATTGGTGTACTTGATCGGCAATTCTTCATTATAAGGCTACATTTGAAGACTTCACTATCATTCATGAATTATCTAAATCTTCTCAAGATCATATTTCTTACATGATGTCTGCTTTGATTCTTATTCAGAACAAAAAGTATGGGAGGCTGCTCGTGCCACTGGTGCAGCTCCGACCTACTTTAAGGCCTTCGGTCCATACATTGATGGTGGTCTAGATGCCAACAACCCAACCTTAGATTTGATGACAGAAATACATGAATACAACTGTGGATTAAAACTAAAAGTAAGGCAACAAATTTCTTTCAAACTGTAATAGTTTTACCTTATAGTCTTTAATTTTAGGTTATCTTTTAATTAGGGATGGCAGTCGAATACAGAATTGCTAATCGGTTAACCGAACGATGTTCCGACCGATTAATCGGTTAATCGTATCAAAATGACATTTTCCTTATATTTTATTTTTCAAGTAAACTCTAGTTATATACACAAGAAAACTGAAAAAGACGTTAATGCTTGATAAGTACGCTATATATTATATTTTATTTCAATTTTGAATGGCAAGAAAAAATAAGGAAACCATGAAACATCTCTTAAATGTCACAGAAAATTGATAATGTTACAGCACAAGGTCATTGTGCATTGTCACCATAAACAGAAACTGAGTCTGAAATAATTTACAATGTTTATTTGAAAATATAATTTGATAGATAACTGCAAAGGATAGATGGGGTAAGATACACATTGCAATCATTTAAATCATTTAACAGAACTCAACAAAGATTTAATTAATATCATAATTAAGACATGCTGGGTAACGACATGGTATTTAAACAGCAATTAACACTTCGCAAAGTGACCAATTACCCCAAACAAATTCAATCTTGAGAGTCTTAATTAAATTATTTACCTCCAAATCAGCCGAATTAAATGTGGAAACGTTATAACTTATCAATTTTCAGGGTTTTTTAACATCGTAAATCGTGTTTTAAGGAAATTTACACCTATTTTAATTTTTTTCCGACTAACCGATTACAGATTTTCTAACTGATTACCATCGTTCCGACCGAGTAACCGGTTAACTAATTACAAATTGCCATCCCTACTTTTAATTGAATATTGTATCTAGATTTTTTCCTTTGAAAATGCAGTGCAGTTACTTAAGTATTTGTCTTGATATATACAAATGGAAACTAATTCATGGAATTAATCATGCTAATTATACCTTGATCTTCTGGGTTTTTTTTTTTCAAGAATGAGCCCCAAAATGTACGTCCAATAGGTGTTGTGGTGTCTTTAGGAACGGGACAGGTACCTATTAGACCAGTGGACACTGTTGATGTTTACCGACCAGAGGGGATTTTTGATGTTACCAAGATTGCTAGAGGAATCCAAAACCTGATTAATGTCATGGTAGACAAGGTGAGACTCGGAGAAGATACATGTACTTGGTTTTATGTGCAGTATTAGGCTTAGTATCCAAGAATCATATATCTTTAACCTTCTTAAATATTGAATGCCTTAAGATTATTGAGGCCAGAGGGACCCCAAAACTATTTTCATAGCAATTGTATACTAAATTTAGTATTTGTAGTGGAATATTGAGTTCTGCAAACAGACACATCTTTATACATTTATTATGCCCCACCATAAATATGGCCATGGCATATAGTGATTGTCATGTGTGTCTTCTGTCCTTCTGTCTGTCTGTCCATCACACTTTGTGTTAAGCCCAGTTTCAAAGAAACTATTCAAGATATTTTTATTAAACTTCATATGCTGATACATGTTGATCATGATGAGAGCTTTTCAACAGCATCAACATTTTTTACATTAACCTTTTCGTGAACCTTGACCTCATTTTTATTAAATTTGTGTTTATAGCTCAGTTTCAATGAAACTATTCAAGATAATTTTATCAAACTTCATATCCTGATACATATTACTGTATCAGAAACTATGTACTGCATATAAAAAATTTGATCTTGACCTTCCCTTTAGAGTTGTCTTCACTTTTCTCTAACCTGTGTTTAGCTCGGTTTCAAAGAAACAAATCAAGATATATGAAGCTTTTGTCATGATACATTTTGATGAGTGCTATTCAGCTGACTCAAAAAAAATTTGACCAGTAAGCTTGATATTTCTTTGACCATGACCTCACTTTTCATAAATTTACAGTTAGCTCAGTTTCAAACTATTCAAGATATTTTTATCTAAACACATATACCATATAACTGTCCAAAATGTATGACACCTTACTTTTCTTTGTTTTGCCTTTAACTCAGTTTCAAAGATATTTATGTAAGCTTATGCACTGATAATAAAATGGTGAGAATTGATCAATTCTGACTAAATTTTCTTACCCTGACCTTTCCATTGACATTTACTTTACTTTTTATTGTGCTAAAAAACTCAGTTTTAAAGAAACTATTCAAGATATTTTCTTCAAACTTCATACACCAATACCAATATTTATGTTGCATTTATACTAATGAACCCTGGGTGAGGCATTCATGTCCTATGGACATATTTCTAGTTTTAAAATAAATGTTATTTGGATATTTTATCCTCTCAATTCACTGAGAGTTTCATGTTCATGTATATGTAAAGAATTTAGTAAATCCAAAGAGCAAAATTCATTTTCCAGGGAATAGAAACAAACCAAAAATTAGCCTACCTTCACAACTACTTTCTTCTAGCATTTTTTCATTTGAATACATGTATATGAGTTGATTTTCTTCATCAGTTTCAAAGTAATTCATGTAGTTCAAAAAATGCATATACATGTACATGCAAATCATTAATGACAACAAATATTCCTAATTTTCCCCACCTTGCAAAAATCTCTTCATCAAAACCTAGCTGTATGCAAAAGGAGTTAATGTTTTACAATTTTAAAATATTGACTACTGTATATGACATATTTTTTTATTAATTTCAGGCCACAATTGCTGAGGGTCGTCCTGTGGACAGGTCCAGAGCCTGGTGTGGTATGCTGGGAGTACCATTTTATCGATTCAGTCCACCAATAACAGATGTAGAAATGGATGAACATGACAATAAGAAATTAACCCAGCTGATGTGGGAGACACAGTGTTACATAGTGGCTAATCGTGAACGAATTAAAAGACTGGCTTCCTACCTCAAAAGAGATACATAGCAAATGTATTATCCATATACATGTATGTTACTATGCGGTATTTTTAGTATTTATTATTTCTAGCCTTAACTTTGTAAATTTTTTTAAGTGTAAGAACTTAGCAATTACAGTCAAGCTTTATTATATGGAACTTGATTGGACTGAGAAAAAAACTGAAAGATATCCGAGGATTCTATATTTGAGAGTAAAATACTTAAAGAATAGGTGGTTGGGACTTCCAAATCACTTTGACACATCCATGGTATTCGAGATATCGGTGTTTGAGATACCAAAGTTCAACTGTATAGTGTATACATTATTTATCATAATGTGCCTTTTAAAAAAAGAAGCATAATTATTTTGATATGCAGAGAATAACATTTGACAATGGTCTGCATCTGAAGATCTGTGATAATTTAGTGACACCTGCAAGAAATTGTGTTTATGTTCTGACTGTGGTGATAGCCTTTTATTTCATTGTTAGGGATCATTGCACTTTTATGTACATGTATTTTTAATTATACAGATAAATATACATGATAAACATTTGTCATTTAGACATTAAATAAACATTATTACTTTTTGATTATATGTAGTGCATTGCTTTTTTCTGTAAATTACAATTTTGAAAACTGCCATATTACATTTTTTTTCTCTGGACTCTTCTTCAATCCCTTTAAAAGAAGGTGATATGTACATGTACATAGTTTTTGATGGAATTTCTACCTTTTGTGCCATGCATTATTTTGTCTGTCTTTTTTTTTTAAGTTATTGGTATGAGTATTGAATTTCAAAGTTTTGTTTGCCTGTTGATGTTAATGAATAAATCTTTTTTTTTTATTATATAATGTTGATAAATAAATTTTTACAGGAGATGTAGTTCCCACCTTTTGTTCACCAGTTATAAAATATGATTATACAACTGTATTTGTCTTAAGTGTATCATTCCAGTTTGAAACATTGTATGTAAATGTATCTAAAATAAAGCTATTTCATAACTAATATACCAATTTAAAATTTCTGTAATTGCATGGGAATAAAAGATGGAAATTGATGTAATTGTTCATTTATGCACTGATAATAAAATGAACTCTTCAAAGGCAAAATGAACAAAAGCAGTATAAAGCAGAATATCCCCTTGCAACAGTATTTCATTTGAGTGTTCCAAAGAATGCATATGTTGCTTACTGTAGCATCATTAAAGACATAAAATTAAAGAGTGGTCTTTTTTTTAATATCACATCTCAACTGATAATAGCATATAGTTGAAGCAAAAAAAAATGGATATTAAGGCAGAGATAATTAATATTTATCATAAAAGTCACAATCAATAGATATTTTATTCATCCGCGTTTATTTCAACACCCCCACCCCCTTCCCCTGATTTATTTTCGGACAACATTCGGAACATCACATGACTTTTTCCGTCAAATCGAGACCATCTTCGGCCTTTTCTGTGCAGTCGATCCAGAAAATTTTACTATAAATAATTAATTGTTCACACGAGTTTAATTCAACAATCCCAGAGATTCACGTCCCAAGTTCGATATACCGATCCCGATTTCTTTTCAGCAACTAATAGAACATTTTTTTTTCCAAATCGAGAACATCACTCGGTCTTTTCTGCCAAGTCGAGAATCTTTGCTGACGAAATTAAATGTAAAGTGATGTTCCGAGCATTTAAATTTCAATTTTGAGGTTAATGTAATGAATAAAGGTCATGAGGTTATAAACATAACTAGTTATCAAAGCACAGACACTTGTTTCGTATACGGGGCACCCCTGCATGATTATTTTAAAATAAGTAGGATGCCCCGTATACGAAACAATGCCTGTGTTATCGAAGCCCTACTTCTTAAAACTAATTTGAATTCAATTTCACAATACGAAAGTTAATTAACGGTTCTGGGTATTCCTGAAAAATAGGTCATTTGTCATGGTCAGGTAGACTGTAACACTGATACACGAGTTGAACTTCGGCATCTCGAACACCATGGATATGTCGAAGTGATTTTGAAGTCCCAACTGCTTATTAGTCCCCTACCGGTGAAACCGGAGGGGACTATAGGTTTCCTCTGAGTCTGTCCGTCCGTCTGTCTGTCTGTCTGTCCCTCTGTCTGTCTGTCTGTCAGTCTGTCCCACTTGGTTTTCCGCACTTTTTTCTAAACGCTTGCAGATATTGAGCTGATTTTTGGTATGTGGCTTTACCTTGATTAGTTATAGATCAAGTTTGCATTTCGTCCCGCTTCATTAATTTCTGACGGAATTATGGCATTTTCAATTCTTAACGGGAACCAGATTACACTTGCCGGTAGGGGACTAGTATTGCTAATGCAATACTCTCAGAATGCTTGTTCCTTAAGTATTTTCTCGGTCCCCTCGAGTTTGAGATAACGAGGTTTGACTGTATTTTCTGACATGTCTTATGACAAGCAGTGTACTTAACAAATAGCACAAACTTACCCCTTAAAGGTAAAAATATATGAACGTGTATATCGGTATGGTGCATTTTGAAAAGTAGGTCAAATTCAAAGGTAACTAGGTCGGTAACTGGTATTTTACAAAATCCTTTCATCCAAGCAATACATAAGCAAAATAATGAATCTCTACCTCTAACAATTCTCAAGATAGAGCATAAAATGTGAAAGACGAACAGACAGGTGTTGGGCAAAGCGATCCCTAAGTGTCGCTCTGCCCTGCAGCCACACGGCATTTCTTTAACTTCTGTGTAGAATCAAAGTGACTGAAAGGTAATTAAGTGCTTTAATATCAAGAACGTATGTCTAGAGCTGTTAATTTTATTAATTTAACAACCACTTAAATTGATCATTAATTATTTGGAAATTAAGGGTTGGGGCTTATATACAAACAATGTTGATGTCTCCTTTAACTCCACTTCAAGTTTAGCTCTGATCTGTGTTTAAATAAAGAAATTTCTTTACATTGTGTTCCGAGACTTGGTTAACAAATTCTTTGTTCTTAACTTTTGTCTTTTTGACTCACAAATGTATAGGCCTGTTTCTCTTGACATCTACCACTTCCACAACAAGTAAATTAAGTTTGAGACTGCTAAATAAATTGGTACTTCTACATATGCAAAACTGTTTGAAACTCGCATAACAGTTTGCATTTAGTTTTGCAAAGAAAAACCGCGTTATATATGTATGAAGTGTTCGTGCATTGGACACTGTAGTAAGAATCAAATGAATTTTCTAATGTATTATATGTGTGGTTACGTACCACAACCATGAAATATGGAGAAAACGAACAGTATTCAAGCTTAAAGTCCATTTCAAAAATACAAATCAAAAGCAGAGCAAACACAGACCTCCAAAAAATATCAGAGGTGGGAACAAGTGCCATGGAGGAGTGAGTATCCCCTGCCGACCGGTCACACTCGCCGTGTGCTCCTTGTCATGATCAGGGAAAACGGAAAAAATCCGCAAACAATTCAGTGTGTAAATAATGGCCTAACAATTAGTATGAAAAACGTCAGTCAGCATTTGACTTAATGAAAGGTTGTAATTGCTGACAAGATAATTGTATAGACCATAAAACTTGCGAAATGATGACTTCAAACGAGACTGTTGATATCCTTGATTAATCAACTTGTTTGTTAATATATAGCTTGGCTCGTTTTAGAAATTGTTCATACGTAGAGCATGCTCTTGCGTATCGAATCAACTGGGAGAACAGTAACCCAAAGGTAGGTGATAAGGGTATTTGCTACATAAGTAAGGGAAGTTGACGATTGAAAAATTGAAGTCATCACGTTTATCATAAAGCTTTGTTGTTGGGTTACCATTAAAGTCTTTTTCTAGTAAAATATCCAAATATGAAACAGATGTGTCAGACTCTGTGGTATCTTTTATTTCAAGCTCACCGAGATATATCGAGTCGACATATGAATGGAAGTAACTATATTGTTAATTGATAATACGTCATCGATATATCTAAATATCGAGTTGAAGGCCACAACAAGTATTTTTGAATGAACTCTGCTTCATATAAATACAAAACCAGGTCTGGTAATAAGGGGAGCAATTGGTACCTAGGGGAATCCCAACAGATTGTTAGAAGACCTGATCTCCAAAAACTACATAGATATTGTCAATCAGAACCTCATGCATCTTTTTAATATCAACTTCAGAGTACTTGTGTGTACAATCAGAATGTTTTTTGACAAAATAATTTTGCTAATGACCAATGATAAGGTAAATATATTTACTAATTCCATTTTTATTTTTTTAAAAAAAGCAGCTGTCTATGATGTCAAAAAGTCTGGAGTTTAATTTATCGTGGGGAATGGTTGTATAAAGTGTTGAAAAGTCGTACGTTTTGATGTTATTTATTTTGTTTAAATTTTGTGATTTCAAATTTTCTAAAACTTCATTGGAATTTTTAAGTATCCACATCTGATTTACACCTCTTCTCGAATATACATGTTCTGTTGTACAGTACTTCTGAAGTTTCTTCTTCACTCTGTAAATATTGTAATGAGGAGTAAAGAAAGAGGCTTGGTAGAACATTTTACTGGAACCCGCTATGTATCTTTGTTTGTAAGAATTTTTATGGATCGAGTTGTCGAATCCAGTATAGGTATGGTAATTCAAATTCATTTTGATTGTTGGAAATATTAAAAATATTTAAAACTGACATATAGTTTGAAGAATTTCATCCTTAGAAAGAGAGCTATTGGTATATGTTGGATTTCCACTTGCAGAATTAAATCCTAGTTCCTCTAAAACACAATTCTAATAATACATGTAAGCCTTACAAACAAGGACAATATTGTTACCTGCTTTATCAGCGGGGACCAGTGCATACTGATCGTTTAGTCTATTTAATTCTTTTTTCACTTCTAAATTATTGAACACAGAAGGATAGATGGTTTTCATACTGCCCCTCAATCGTTTAAAGCGAGATTTTAACATACATCTGATACATTTAATCCATTCTGAGAAAGTGTCAAGGTCTTCTTTTTCATATTTGGCCAATCGTCTGGCGTAATCTTCTACTGAATTTATAATATTTATGAAGTTATGACGCCATTTGAAACATTAATTGGGGTTCCCTAGACTTTGGCCCTCTTATAATACGTGATTTAAGGTCTTTATCATTAACTATTTTTACGTCACCAGTAACAGGACTATGGTTGTAGAGTGAAGAAGAACATGAACACGTTATGTACAAACGCTTTTAAATCATAAAAGTTAATTAATACAATCAATTAATTAATATAACATAGCTTCATTAAGGTTTTAATTATCAAAAATAAAAAAAAAAACTGATCGCAGAAATCCCCATATAAATAATCTGTCAGTTAAAAATTTGAAACAAATAACTATTAGCTTTTAATACAGCATACTACAGTATAGCATTCATAAAAAAGATAAAAAGAAACATATTACATGTATATTAAATATAAACTTATATTTCTGTAAAACTTAAACAATCTCTTATTCAATTTACAAAAATGCTCGAAAAGTTATTACATTGTATGTATTCACATTAATACTCAAAAGTCAGTAAATAAGATTCAATATATACATGCTATCATTTTGACAATAATAAAGATATAAAACCACTAAAGATTAAACAGGCATCTCAGAACAAGATTTTATTCTGACAGCAAACATTTATACTTCCATTTAATTTATATAATTAAATATGACAGATGTCTGTACTGCTAGTATACTTCGAAGTAATTTTTATTGAATTGCAGAGGCATCAAAACTAGGGATGGCAACGAATATTCGAACATTCGAATATTCATTCGATGAGTTGATATTCGAATATGAATTTAAGATTCGAATATTCGGTGTTTTTCAGATTTCATAAAAAGAAGTACTGTGATCAATAAATTTTGATTAGAACAGTGCTGGGATTATCCCTGTTTAATTTACTAGCGATCAATTTCGATCGACTGATTTCTTTCACTACTTTCTTATCTTATAAATCTTCTAAATTACATGTATTTTGTTTTGAGTAAGGTGTTGTAAAGAATTGTACAATAATGCTTTATGTACAATACAAAACGTACTTTCATAGCTTTTATTAGTTATAGATACGATCGGATGTAGAATCGAGGACAACAAATGAAATCTAAGAATATCTAAAAGGCGTGAAGAGTATACTTATCAAAATAAAATTAATTGATCATTGAATGAATGTCCGATAGAATTAATCTGTAATTAATATTGTAAAGGGCTTAATCTCAGAATAAATGTGTAAATTACTTGATTATCTCGGGTTGTACATAATTTATATTCATTATCGGGAAAACAGGTAATTACCTAGGAAAATTGTCTATGGAAATATTTGTTTACATTGTATCAAAGATTATAATCATATCTCTTATCAGGCAAATAATTGTAATTTATTATACGTATTGAAATCTGAACAGTATATACCGTTACGGCTATCTTGCCTTTTGTGAGACGACTGGTTCCTCAGTTGGAGCTACTATAAATACACGTTTCATTTGTTAAAATTATACTTTTCTACATTTAAATCAATTATTTATTTCAAACATTGACAAATATCAAGTGGAATTTCTTCTTGTACACCTACAAAAGTCTTCATACAATTTTACTGATTTTAGGATGATGCATATTTAAAATAAAACAGATTTTATTCATTTTATCGAATATTCGAATACTTTCATTGAATATTCGAATATGAGTTATTGACAAAATTGACATCCCTAATCAAAACTATACAGAAGTTTAGAAACAGATGTATAGGTTTTGGGAGAATGAATAAATAAGGCTTGTTTGATAGGGAAATCTCATGATAAGTATTTGTTTAAGCAATAAATAAACCTGCACAAACTGTGTTATAGATGTCTGTAACATATAAATTTTGAGTATCCTATGTCCTATATCAATTTTTCAATACTAAGTAAAAATAAATAAATAAATAAAATGATGACTTACTTATGACTAAATACTGTATATATAACTATTTCATACAATCTCGCGTCTGTTCTTCTTAAAAGAGAATTGGTATAGCCTGTATCAACTAAGCCAATCTCTACCTATCGACAACTCAGAGTGTAAATACTTATTGTGTTTTCTTTACTGGAGAGTTCCACAATATCAGTCTGAATTATCTCAGATCATTCATGTTATTTCAATACTGAATGGCATTGAAGATGTTACCTCAACTGTGACTACAGAGTGATCTGTAAGCTTGCAGTGTATGCAAATATAGTGACAATAGGAATGTATGATTAAAAAATCCAGCAGGTGGCAGCTATATTTGACCTGTGTGGAAATTGTTCATAAGCTAGCTAGTATTGATGAGAATGGATTAGGAACACCATGCATCAAGTTTTATGTTTTGCAAGGATCACTAGAAAAATTGGAAAGTTTAATATAAGGTACGTACGTGTAATTAAGTCAGCAAGAGGAAAGGGGGGAGAGTATCTTTCTAAAGTTCTATGCCTATTGGTGAGACTAAACGCTCATTTTGGCAACATTGACGTACTTCGAATACAAAGTCTAACGAACAGACTAAGAAGTGAAAGAGACAAACAGACCTCAACAGTTAATGTAATTTAAGGTTTGCAGTTAACAGATAAACCATGAATGTTCTTGATTCTTTGTAAAAAAATTAATGATAAAATGAAATGAGTATAATTGAATTACTAATATGTACTTTTTTATTTTAAACTCTTTCACTGTAACATGATAGGTTACCAAACAAGAATAAGAGTGGACCTACAGCTTTGTTTCAAAGGCTGAGTTCTGTGGAGTGTATGGTTTCCAATAATGTGATGCATAAAAGCTTCAGGTGAGTTGAATTCGAAGTAAATTTGGTTCCAATGTTGAAGAAGTTAAGTTTTCCATCAATTAAGATGATGCATAATAAACTATGGAAAGAAAACATGAATATGCAAGTGCATTGTCAATGAAAAAAGGCATTTTATGGATCAAAATTTGACTCACTTTTAAATTAAATGGTGATGTTGGTAGCTTATTTGCCAGGCGTCATGCTCAAAGAGCTACACTTTATTGAAAAGTTTGTGGAATTGGAACTCTCCGAAAAGAGTGAAATCTTTACCAGCTGAAACAAATGGTAATGATATCGACAATAAAGTGATGACAAAAGTTCTGTACTTTGTTGATAAGTTGTCTAGCATTTTCAAGTGAGCTACTATTGATACCAATTAATTATTGAAATATGAGATTCGTATAATGAGTAAACGACAGTTCTGTATATACTCAATATATGAATTTTCTGTAATTTCAATTACTAATAAAGAATATTAATATCGACATTATGGAACATTCCAGAAAAAATTTAAATGGTGCTCCCTTCCACAAAAGTACAAGCTAGCAAAACTTTATTTCTTGGTTTGATTGTTGATTGTGGAGAGACTTTTAAATATATGCAATATACAATGTAATTTAAACCAATCTAATTAAAATTAAAATTTTATCCGCTCCAACCAGATCGCTACTTTGTGTCGCGTTGGAGCGGATCAAAGATCTAATTTTAATTAGATTGAATTTAAACTTTATTTTTACAGATGTTTAAATTAGAAGTGCTTCATAAACATATTCTCACAATTTTTTTAGTTTTCTTTTATGTATACATGACTTTTCACTTTATGCATGTAAATTTGTAGACATGTTTTAAGTCAAGTAAGCACCTGTAAATTTAAAATCAAAGGATAAAATGATTGAAAGCAGTTTTGAATGAAGATTACAGATGAACATCAGTGAAAATTGTTTAATGTAATTAACATTTAATAATTTTGTCTGCTTTATATAGCAATCTACAAAAGCGAGTGAGACGATCTTTGAATAATTTTTATATGATTTGTATTTGTTTTATACTTTATCCAGTCAACACCATACACTTGTAGATATGCCTAGTGTAAAATGTCAAACATCTTTTTTTCTGTAGTATATTTCGCTGGACTAATGACAAGGACACAAAAGAATCGCACCCTGGGTTTGATGAAGTCAAACTTCCAAATAGATCAGATGGCAATAAAACAAACTGGCGCTGGAGACCGGCTCATGTTGCAGCATTTTTGGGTTTATATGAGTGCTTTCACAATAAAAAGTTTAAGAAGTATGTTTTATCATTCAAGAGTATTATTCACACACTTAACGCTTTTTTTTTCGTATAGCAGTATTACTAAATTTACACTCCCTTTATTTACGATGTTTTAGCTGCAATAAGGCGTGAAGACACATTGCAAAAATTTATGCATATAGACGCTCTTATCAGCCCTAAAGTCATAAATATTTACATATGTATATTACACATTTCTGGAACTTCACATTCCCATTTCATGCAACAGCGAATTAAGTTGATTTTTGCGTGACCTTTGATGAGGAATATAAACCACTGTGTAGTTACCTAGCATTAAACATTTGAAAGCAAACAGAATTATTTTAATGCAATGTTTTGAAAAATACTTTTATTAATTTTTAAGAGATATACATAATTTTGTTTTATCTCTGCAATACCGGTGATTTCACGTCGTTTGTTGTCATTGTTACATCATAATATAAACTGTGTTGATTGTTATAATAAGTTAACAGTATAAATAAAATTTAGATTCAAATTTGAATTTAAAGTGAGAAAATCGACTTACCCGTGTAAACATATTTTTATGCTTCTTCGATATGAGTAAAATATATATAGTTTATATGTATTAATTGTATTGTATTGACCTGGAATAATTGCACAGTTCTTTATTCCGTGGGAGGTACATCCCATAAGCATTACAGTACAATATTATATATTTATCAATTATATACATAGAACAATAACATGATGTACACTTACAAACTTGTGATACATACATTCTATTATTTAGTTAATTGTTTTGAACATTCTAATCGTAAATTATTAACATGATATATATATTTCCCTAACCGATTTACATCTTTGGTATTTGTACTACAAAATTATTGTATTAGTTTAAGACACTTGGTCTTCGGGAGTAGTGATGTTTGATGCATTTGTCTCTTAAATCATGAAAAACAGGACAAATGAATAAAAAATGAAATTCATCTTCAATATCATTTAAATTACATAAATCATATTTCCTATTACTCCTTATTAAGTTGTCATACCCTCCAGTTTCTATCTTTAAATTATGTGCTGAAAGTCTAAACATGTAATTGCTTTTCTTTAATTTACATGAATAGGTTTCTTTAAATAACCTTGCAAACAAAAATAGTCAACTAAATGCTTATATAACATGCATTTTGGTGATCTACATATACCAGATATAGCTTTTTGTTTAAAAACATTACACATTTTATTGTATGTTATCTCTAATATAATACTATCTTTTTGATTACTATGGTACAAGTCACCTAAACCTAGAGTGTACATTTCATTTTTTATACTCACAATCCAGGGATCTTTATTCTCCACCATATCTTGATAACATGCACTCAATATGCAATTTTTACTTTTTCTTAATTTTAACCAATATTGTAATATTCTGCGCTTTCTATATATATTTAGTGGAATTCTATAATACATTCCATAATAAACAGCACTATTGCAAGTATTTTTTCTTGCACCAAGTATTCTTTTACAAAAATTGATATACACTCTTTCAACATCTTGACCTTTATGAAACCCCCATATTTCAGCTCCATAGCATAACACACTTTTAACATAAGTATCAAACACAGTAATCTGAGTCTCAACATTGAAATTTAAATCTTTCATTTTACTATAAATACTAAACATTGCCTTGTTTCCTTGTGTTGCACAATGTTTCTGTGTGGATAAAAATTTACCATTGCACGGAATATTAAAGCATGCTTACTTTTGATCAGACACAGTTATTTCAATATTTTCAGGGATATTAACCATCAAATGAAGAATACTCAGTTATCTCCCTTAATGGCAGCCATCTTAGGGAAGCACACACAGTGTGTGAGTGTTTTATTGGAGCTGGGTGCCAGACTGGATCTTCAGGATCAGAATGGAGAAACTGTATACCATTATGCTGTATCACATCACCCTGAAGTCATTCGTGTTAGTTCATAAATCATTATTTAACTAAATGGTTTAGTGTAGAACTGTAAATAATCCATTTTTTCCCAATTAAAGGTTAATAACCCTTAGCTTAGTGAATATGTCCTGATCCACTGTCCATTTTCCAGATGAAAATTATATTCATAAAAATATTTTGAAGGATCTTACTAGTATAACAAACAGCCAAAAAATTTTGAGTTAATGCATGATCAAATCATCGATATTACTAGTAATAACCTAAATAAATAATAAGTAAATAATAAATCGACTGAGGTATATTAGTATTTCGTTCATACATGTATTATGGAATAATTGTCAATACAATGTCATGAAATGGAAAAGTCTTTATGTGTTACAGAATTTTTAGAGGAATTTTAATGTTATATTTCAAAATAATTTTGAAATATTTTTTTATGAAAAAAAAAAAAATCAGTGCTTAAAAGAGCTCTAGGTTTGAGAATTATTGAAATAGTTGAAGAACGTCATGATGTAAAATCAAATACAATTTAGTAGAAAATAATGATTAATATGAAAGATTAAAATTAAACTAGAGAGTTAGCGATAAACAGTTGCTTTGATTTTCATGTAGAAAAATTGTCTTTTCAGATTTTAGCAAAGCATGATGATCCCAAAGGTAGTGACAGAGTTATAAACTACCTGAACAAGAAGGGTCTAACTGCCCTAGCCACTGCATGTCAAAAGGGGAAACCCGAGATTGTACAGTTATTGCTGGATGAAGAGGCCGATCCAAATATAACTGGTCAGGACATGTATCCCATCCATTATGCTGTTAAAAATGGCGACACCAGGTAAGCTGTGCAGTCCCCAGCCTTGCTACGTGTATTTATTAAGTTCCATTGTGATATTTGGATTGATTTAATTAAGAATCTGAACAAAAAGTCCTTCAAAAGATGGTGAGAAAAGACAGATAGTGCATATATACCTTTACTGTCATTTACATGTAGGTAAATACATAAACTTAATGTCCAATTTTTCAAAATACATTTTTAGGTCAGTTGATGTTATTTGTAAAAAGTTCAAAGACCAATTGTCAAAACGAGATAGAAAGTATGGGGGTACTCCAATGCACTGGGCTAGGAACAGACAGGTATGACAATACACACTTACATATACACTCGAAACAAACTTTGAGAATTCTTTAATTTTGTAAACAGGTCGTTAATTGCATGCAGAAACAAGGGCCAGGATACAATCAGTGTATTTTTCTTTTATTTTATCATGATTAAGTACGTTAAACTTTTTTATTCGAGTTCGATCATTAATCCTGAATGCGCCTCGTAAATCTTAAGATTTTTTTTTTTTTTACAAAGATGGTGGATATTTTAATTTCAATCCAAACAGCATTTCTTTGTGTACTAATATTTTGTTTAGTGACACAAATACATGTGTAGTATAACTAGGTAGTATTGTTCACATTAGAACCTGGCAAAAGTTTTGGACATTTGTGTTTAACAAACACATCTTGAGATTATCTATCATGCATGAACCATTTGTTTTAAGTAGAACCACACAGTACTTAAAAAATGCAAAATTACAGATGATACCACTGAATAAGACTTTTGATCATACATGAAACTTTAATTTATATAGCCATGTAAAAATGATTTGTAGAGTTGAATCCAAGCACTTAGTACAAATTATACTCTTCTGTTACTGACATACTTCATCTAAAGAGTACTATAACATACAAGTATTCTGAGAGTATTGCATTAGCAATACTAGTCCCCTACCGGCAAGTGTAATCTGGTTCCGTTCCCGTTAAGAATTGAAAATGCCATAATTCCGTCAAAAATTAATGAAGTGGGACGAAATGCAAACTTGATCTATAACTAATGAAGGTAAAGCCACATACCAAAAATCAGCTCAATATCTACACGCGTTTAGGAAAAAAGTGCGGAAAACCAAGTGGGACAGACTGACAGACAGACAGAGGGACAGACAGACGGACAGACAGACAGACAGACGGACGGACAGACTCAGAGGAAACCTATAGTCCCCTCCGGTTTCACCGGTAGGGGACTAATAATATTAAACAACTGTAATATTAATATATATGAAATAAAAAAAAAAAAAGAGTGTGTAGTTTCCTGCTCAATTATCTATAAGTCCCCTACCGGTGAAACCGGAGGGAACTATAGGTTTCCTCTGAGTCTGTCCGTCCATATGTCTGTCTGTCTGTCAGTCTGTCCCTCTTGGTTTTCCGCACTTTTTTCCTAAAAGCTTGCAGATATTGAGCTGATTTTTGGTATGTGAGTGTATCTTGATGAGTTACAGATCAAGTTTGCATTTCGTTCCGCTTCATTGATTTTTGACGGAATTATGGCCTTTTCAATTTTTAAGGGTTTTCAGCAATTTTCTTCTAAACGCTTTCAGATACATTGAGCTGATTTTTGGTATGTGACTTGACCTTGATTAGTTATAGATCAAGTTTGCATTTCGTTCCGCTTCATTGACTTTTGACGGAATTATGACATTTCAATTCTTAACGGGAACCGGATTACACTTGCCGGAAGGGGACTAGTATAAATTGCTAATGCAATACTCTCAGAATGCTTGTTTTTTAATATCTCGTACAGTGAAAACTGTCTAATCCTACACCTGTGCAATCAAATTCCGACGTTAAATTTCCTTCCCATTTTACTATTTTTCATGTTTTTTTTTACACTGTGCAATCCGACACCCTGTCTATCCTGACACAAAATTTGTCTCCCAGTGCATGTCGAATTAGACAGGTTTCACGTTATTATTATTATTGATTATATATTGCATAGGACAATATAATGAAAAAGATTTTTAGAAAAGATACCTTTAGTAATGTAATGTATGGGAAGGACATAACACATGTGTAGTGATAGGAAAGAAGCTATTGCTTTGTAATATTTCCCCATTCTTTCTATAAAAATGGATTTACATAACAAAATTTTCCATCGTCAACTTTCTTTATGTAGTAATATACCTTCATTACCTGCAAATGTCGTTTATGTATCCAAGTTTATTGACTCACAAGAACATATTCATAGTAAGACAATTTTTAAACTGAGATAAGCTACTGACAAATAAGTTGATGATACGGTGAATTTAGCAACCTCGTTTAAAGTCAGCATGTCGTAAATTCTTAAAATGACTTTTTTACGAAATACAGCTTATTATTGGGTCGTTTATGACTGACATATTTCACACCAATTGTTAGGCGATATACTAAATTTGACTACAGATTATTCCGTCTACCTGACAATAAATAGTGCTCACGGCGAGTGTGACTGGTCGACAGGGGATGCTTACTTCTCTTAGGCACCTGATACCAGCTTTAAAATTTCGCAGGGGACAGTGTTTTATACGGAAGCCCAATAGTGCAAACCAAAAATAAATAAACAAAAACGAAATTATTAAATAAAGAAAAACGAAATTATTAAATAAAGAAAACAAAATTATTAAATAAAAAGCAAACGAAATTATTAAATAAAGAAAACGAAATTATTAAATTAAGAAAACGAAATTATTAAATAAAGAAAACGAAATTATTAAATAAAAAACTGAAACTAAAATACGGAATTTATAGATGTGCATGGTAAGGGCCTGAACCCATGAATCATTCCATAAAGCACACGTGTTCTTTGACCTGATTTTGTTTCGACATTAAAACAAGTGTGATATTTGCATTTACACTCAACTATTCCCGTATCGATAACATAACCAGTTGGAGTAGACAATCATAATAGATGAATAGGGGAGAATTTTACCTTTGGTTATCCAATATGCTTAGATCTATGTTTTTATCTTACATTAACATGATTAATGTGAACTTAATTTGACCATGCAGTCTGATGAATTGGCCAGTGATGACAAGTTTACGTTAGTATTAGCTTTCTTAAACCCTCAACTCAGAAGGTCTAATTATTAGCAAACAATGAATCTGGACATGAAACATCAAAGAGATTATGCTAATAAATTGCACAAATATTTAAGATATACATGTCTGCTAAGATTCCGTTGTTTACAACTGCTGACCCTTATAACATTTAGGAAATTCCCATGGTTATACATCTTTTCTTCAATTATAGCACAGTTCAAAAAATGCTGTAAAATGATACGTTACCGATCTGAACCCATTATAAATTATTGTTTAAAGAGAGCAAGTGCAAAAATTAACAAAGTTGTTACAATGAGTAGATTTTAATGATTGCTTACTTTATTAAAAATTAAGCAAAACACCTCTAATTTCTTGCCCAGGCGCTCCCCATGTAATTCTGTAAATGACGAATGATAAGTATATATATATATATATATATATATATATATATATATATATATATATATATATATATATATATATATATATATATATATATATATATATATATATATATAGGTCTACCCCTCAATACTATAAAATCAACAAGGTTGATTTTATAGTATTGAGGGGTAGATCTATATATACACAATGATTCATTTTGGTGTGCATCCTGCATAAATTATGCACAAATTTTGCTCAGGACGCATTATTTTAATAAATGTGCATCCCAATGGACGCAATAAATTTATAGAAGAACGTGTATCATTTGGTATAATCCGATTCTAAACTTGACTGATTGCATCATATTCATGTGCTAAGCGATATGCATGAACAATTTTAACAGGTATATATAAGGTTGCCAACAACAGGTCAGATTTCACAATTGCAGCCAATTAACCAGCAATTATCAGAAAATATTTGAAAGTTAGATAGCATAGTTCGATTATCACTGTTTATGGAACATTTCTGAAGCGAATACTAATACCTATGTAAAAGCTATACATGTAACCTGTATAATTTTTTTTCCTTACAAGCTAAGAAGTTTAAAATTTAATCATTTTTATTTCTGACTGTTTTTTCATTTCTTCTTAAAATTTCTTTGCTTCATTCTGCTTCTGTGCATTTTATGACTGATACATTACAATGTGTGAGATCGTATGTATGATCGAAAAATAGAACCAAAGTGCACAGTTGACAATATATTATATTTATGACACAAAATCATGTAGTCTTACTTGGACAATTGATAGTAAAATTATAAAACTACTCACAGCAACAATAAAGCATTTGCTCTTTCGTGCAATAACTTTTTATATTTCACCAGAATTTCCTCTGTAATATCTAATATATGACCCTTGGATTTGGATGCACTGATTTTGTCATGGGACTCATTGTTGTCATTAAGGGGGGTCCTTTGGACCCATGATAACCATTTTCAAAATGAATCACTGTATACATATATATACTTATCATTCGTCATTTACAGAATTACAATCTGTATTTTTAAATCAGTGATAGTTGTGAACAAACAATGCACACACTTGCACAACAAATCCAACAAGTATTCAAATCATTCTCTTTATTGTTTCAACAACCTAAGATTTATGGGTACACAGATAGGGCACTAGGTTTAGTTCGGGGGGAATTCAGCGATACGATACGCAAGGCCTTGACCTTTCAGCGATTCATGAGCTCTTTTGGAATGTCATTAATTTTATGTAAGCAGAAACAGCCATCCTCGCTACGTCCAGGCTTACAGGCTCAAACTTTGACGTTGTGGGGATGCGACACAGCATCAAATTCCCGTAAACAAAATTGAACAGTTATGAATCATTTACTTTACAAATGCGAATTATAGGCTGTGAGCACATAATGTTTTTCTACGTTTGTCAATTTGACATTTATCTAAGTTTTTTTTTCATTTCCCCCACACTTGTTTCAATGTCGAAACAAAATCAGGTCTATAGAATTACTAAGTGATGCTTTATAACACGTGCGCTTTATGGAATGATTCATGGGTTCAGGCCCTTACCATGCACATCTATAAATTCCGTATTTCAGTTTCAGTTTTTTATTCAGTAATTTCGTTTTCTTTATTTAATAATTTCGTTTTCTTTATTTAATAATTTCGTTTGTCTTTTATTTAATAATTTTGTTTTCTTTATTTAATAATTTCGTTTCTCTTTTATTTAATAATTTCGTTTTCTTTATATAATAATTTTGTTTTCTTTATTTAATAATTTCGTTTTCTTTACTTAATAATGTTGTTTTCTTTATTTAATAATTTCGTTTGTCTTTTATTTAATAATTTCGTTTCCTTTATCTAATAATTTCGTTTTCTTTATTTAATAATTTCGTTTTCTTTACTTAATAATTTCGTTTTCTTTATTTAATAATTTCGTTTGTCTTTTATTTAATAATTTCGTTTTCTTTATTTAATAATTTCGTTTTCTTTATTTAATAATTTCGTTTGTTTCTTTATTTAGTAATTTCGTTTTCTTTCTTTAATAATTCCGTTTTTTTTTATTTAATAATTTCGTTTTTTATTTAATCATTTTCTTTATATAATAATTTCGTTTTTTTGTTTCTTATTTTTTTGGTTTGCACTATTGGGCTTCCGTAGTTTTATGCACTGTTTACAGATTTATATTGTTTGCAGGGTTTTTTTTTTTTTTTGAGATCCATCACTGTTCGTTAGCTTATCTTCACCTCTTTCATTACTCCAGTTTATCATATCAATTGCAGAATGGGCAAGATATTCTTCAAATTATTTATATCCATGTTTTACTCTAATACATGCAATATTGATTGCACAGATGATTGAGAAATTTTGTCGCCTGAAAGCTGACATGAATTTAAAGAGCAACACGGGCCACACTCCATTACATATCATGCAGGAGAAAGACAGAACAGATTGCCTGATAGAACTCTTGTGTTGGGGAGCGGATCCAAGTATCGGGAATGAAGAAGGAAACACCCCAATACACATTGCTGTTCTTGTAGGTGACAAATCAACAGACTATAAATAACGTATATAAACTATAATAACATAATTTATAAACACATATATTACTCGGAAAGTTGTATTATTTGTTTATTATTCTATTCTTTAAAAAAAAAAAACTTCTGCTGGGATATGTCAATAATACATTAAAAATACAAACTGAGAAATCTTAACTTATTTAAATAATCTAGTATATTTTCTGTAGTTTAAATGATATGAGGTATGTCACACAAAAATTTTATTTAATGGATGTACATGTATCTTTTGACATATGATTTTATAATTGACCAATATTTTAAGTTTCATATATTTTTTGTATTTTGTTTTTAGAGAAAATGGAAAAATTGTTCTGGCTACAGATAAGATACTTTAAACTTACCATTTGCTTTAAATTAATGCAAGTAAAACATGTTAAAAAAGTCAATTGGATACCTGCATTTTAGTTTTTAAAATAAAAATATTTTTGATAGTGAAAAATATTTCTCTTTCTGTTAACACCCTCTAAATCAGTGGATAAAATCTTTAAGAAACATTTTACTTTATAGAAAAAAAATTATATATTACAATATGGTATAATTATTAAATGATATATTATGTCTCAAACCATTCTTTAAATAAAATTTTGGTTTGGCATACCTCCCTAAATTTGAAGACAACCTTAATATTTCCTTTTCAAATGTATATTAGAAAGACGACGTAGAGATGGTGAAAATCTTTGTAGTGTGTGGTGCTGATGTAAATGTCAAAAACAAGAAAAACCAGAGTCCCAGACATTTAGCCAGTGAACTAAATAATAAAAACAAGTAAGACAGATCTTGCCATGTCTATGTAGCAATATGTTCAATAAAAAAAGAGTCCAATGAGAATCTCTAGTTTCAACAAGACTTTACGATATAATTTTTTAACTCTAAGCTTTCCTTAAGGCTGTTCACACACTTGTTTTTACTACTGCTAATTTTAATACGTAATTAAGAGTTAGTTACACATGTTATCCCCTAAAATAAAAAAGGAGTAGAGGATATCATACCAAGATCTGATTTTTAAAGTATGAATGGATTATTTATCTACACTTCTAAAAAGGTACACAAACAACTTCATGCTTTATTAACAGGTTGAAATGATCAGAAATTTCTCTTTAAACTCTCTCAGTTATCCAATCTGTATTTCAGAGAGCTGATTTTGTACATGTTACATATATCGGGTGCCTTGAGGTGTGATGAAAACATGGAAAACTGTGAAGATGGATGTTCCAAGTCAGGAGAAGAAAATGGAAAAGTTGATGGAAACATAAATAAACTTTTAAAGAGTGACCAAAGTGGTGCGCATCTTCATGTCTTTGTTATACATTATAAGCTGAAACAAACTGACCCAACCCTTCTCTAACTTTCCGTGAACTTTCCTCAACAAAGTTGAGATAAATTTACATCATACCTCTGGCGTTGCCGTTGGTGTGGTAATTTCAACCACCAGTCATGCTTTGCATGCCATTTAACTGTATTTTGAATGTTCATGTTAAAGTTTAAATTATATATAAAGATAACGAACAGTAATTAAGCTTAAAAGTCCGTTGAAACAATACAAACTATGTGCAGAGCAAACACTCACCTCTAAAAACGTCAAGGATGGGATCAGGTGCCATGGAAGAGAAAGCATCCCATGTCAACTGGTCACCATCGCCAGTTAATTCCGAAGTAATTAAAAACCCTACCGTGAACAAATTTGAAAAATGCATCCAGAAATGCATACAACTGCTTCTGATAGTATGGTGTCCAGAGTATGATCACTGTCACATTGTACTTGTGATGGTTTATGCATCTTACTGAACATTTATTTAATATCTTTATCATTTATTATTCGTTGAGGTTGGTGTTGGTAATCTTTGATAACCTTTGTTTAAACTTTTGGTATCTCTAACAAAATAATCTATTTCTCTGATTGTATGTTCCCAGATTTACTGGACCACTAAGTGATAAAGCTAGACAAGGATTCTTCTTATAGAGAAATTGTAAATAAAATTTAATTTGATATTAATATTATTTCATTATCTTTTTTAAAGGCCCATTGGATGAAATGTTATCATCTGTGTTTGATCCACTGGCACAAATAGATGGATCAGAGAAAGACCCAGGATACAGGGTGAGATGATGGCATAAAAGAATAATCTTGGTAGGAGTTATACATAATTAGTTGTTGGAAGGAACTCTACAGGGAGCAGATGTAATGTATGAGCAATATCAATTCACAATGTTTTTGAAAAAATATTCACAGATTCTGTCCTTGGATGGTGGGGGAATCCGAGGACTTGTGCAGTGTCTGATGTTGATTGCCATTGAGAAAGAGGTCGGAAAACCCATCACAGAGTGCTTTGATTGGATAGCTGGAACAAGCACAGGTGGACTTTTAACTCTGGGAATCTGCACAGGTGAGTGATGTTTCATATTTGACTAAATACTTCCATGGTTTATTGAGTTAATGCAGGACATAACTGTTTCTTGGAGAATAAATCTAGTCTCATACAAGAAATCTTTCTTCATGCTCAGTTCTTTTTTCTATATAAAGGTAAGCCTCTGTCTTACATGAGAGGATTGTATATCAGACTGAAGGACGAGGTATTCACTGGATCAAGGCCGTATGAATCAGAGAACTTCGAGGTCTTGTTGAAAGAAGAATTTGGAGAGGAGACTGTTATGACAGATTTAAGGAAACCAAGGTTTAAAAATCTTTTTAAAAGTAACTGATGTAATATAATTTTCTTCACAAGTTGTTCATGACTTTTAAGAGATTTTCAATCTTTTTAACAGAACTAATAATTTTTTCTTATTTTATTCTTAATAAAATATTTGTTGTATATCTTTTCTCTGTGCTATATTAAAATTCTTAAACTTATGTCTGATTTTAACATACTTGACCAGATTTCAATGTTTTAAAGTGCCTAACTAAAACATACTTTGGCCAAAAAATCAGGAGATAAATTAAAAACGCACTGAATGCAGGGATTGTTTACATTTCTAGGGCTGTGGTGACTGCTGTACTAGCAGACAGACACCCAACTAAATTACATTTGTTTAGGACATATGAACCAACATTGGAGCAGCTTTATGATGCTAAAAGTGGATATCAAAGGAACGGCAGCACAGATAAGAAAGATGACGTAGATTCAGAGGAGGGAAATGAAGAAATATACTGTCCAGCTAAACCCGGTGGTAGGTTTAATTTTGGAATAGTTCTACATTAAACATGATATAAATAGTTGATGTTGATTCACTTATTCTATAATTATTATTATTATGTTTCTTTTCCCTCTGACTGTATTTAAAATTCAGTGCCAAACTATTTTCGCATCTTTTACAAAGAATTTAGCTTCAGCATAGTATGCCGAAGTAGTGCGCGGCTTGCTTTGAGAAATTTTGCTGGTGGCCTGCGGGCCTGCTGAGCTTCGAACTCCCAAAAACTAAAAAGTAATTTGAAAATCTTGTAAAAACACTTGATATATAGAAAGTATATTTTTTTAATGAAGTTTGGGGTTTGCAAACAGACTTAAAATTTATATAGATATGTTACAATAAATACATGTATGTGACATCAGAAATTTCATGTATTTCCAAAGTTGTAGAAAATACCTGAAATTCCTATTCTGCTTAGGAAATACGTGTATTTACTGTTTTCAGTTAGGAAATACGTGTATTTACAGAATTTCTCTATACCTTTTACATACATTTACTGGGGGGTTTTTTTGTTGGTTTTTTTTTTCGGTGAGATAATTTAGAGCATGAATCATAAAATATGAACAGATGCACAGTTAATTCAACGTTTATCTTACCAACTTAAACTGAGGAAAATTCAATATCTTGCTGAACATGTAATGGCCTTAAATTGATTCACTTTCCATTTAAAATTTGGTTGATGATAAGAAGAGGCTTTTCAATGAGGAGCTCTTTAGTTGGTATCAAAATGATATTTCTGTTAAACTTTGATTGCAAAAAGAAATATTAATGAAGAATGCTACACAAAATTTTATTTAATGAATGTTTAAGACACACCTTTTAAAAATATGGTCTCAGCTTTGAACGACCGATATTAGTTCTGAATTATTTTAGATGATTTTTTTTATTTTGCATTTTTTTCAGAGAAAATGTAAAAATTGTTTTATTTGAAATAAAATGCATACAGATACACTGCTTTCATTTTCTGGAATCAGTTGTCTACACCACAACATCTTTAACTGTGTGAAATGGTCATCAGATAAATGTAAAGTTATTTTTATATTAAAAAAAATAAAATCGCTGACTTTTCTTCACACGTTTTATTACTGATACTCATACTATGCTTCTATGCAATTATTAACAGCAAAATTAAAACCCAGAAGCCTCTTATTTGCAAATAAAACAATTTTTATATTGTCTCTGAAAAAATGCCCAAAAAATCTTTAAAAATACGTATAATGTAATTGGGCTAATGTCAGTATTTCAATGATGAAGCCTTATTAGTCTAAAGCATTCCTCCTTAGATAGGATTTTAGAAAGACAGTGTAATGATTATTGCCCAGAATCGGAAATTAATCTATGACGAATGTCAGCTTTGTAGAAAAAAAACCTTATAAAGTGCTGTTTTAAAAGTATCTGTATAGTCATTGAATATTTAAAAACATACATGTATAGTATAGTCATCCTGCTTAGTTCATTAAAAACGTTTAAAATTGGCTTAATTTTTCAGTAAATACATGCATTTACTTGTCAATTTAGTAATTCATGAGAAATTTAGTAATTACATATGTTTCTTAAAACAACCAGTAAATACATGTATTTACTGAACGGTTTAGGAAATACATGAAATTCCTGATTTCACATATTTACTGTAACATATACAACAGTCAGCATTATGATAATAAAAGTTGTGTTTTCTGGCTTATGCAAAGTGCGTTAAAACCTGACAATTATTAAGACATAATACATGAATAACATAATAATATTATACTTGTATATGTTTTTTATCAATCAATGCTTATTACAAAATAGAAAAATAGTTGACGAACACAATTAGTGTTACCCTTGTAAAATACTTCAGATGAAAGAATCGATTTTTTTTTTGACGTCTAGTTGTTTACGAAATGTTTTTTCACTGCATTATGTTAATTGGTAAAATTGAGTTATCAGGTATAGTATTTTTCTGTATGATATTCACCATATTGTCTTAAATCTTGCGGTGTTTCTTATATTTAGAACAAAAAGTATGGGAAGCTGCTCGTGCCACTGGAGCAGCTCCGACCTACTTCAAGGCTTTCGGTCCATACATTGATGGAGGATTAGAAGCCAACAATCCGGCTTTGGAACTTTTGTCTGAAATACATGAATTTAACTGTGGATTAAAATTAAAAGTAAGAGAGAGAGATATTGAATTTAATTGGAAGAGGCAGTTGTTTTTCATACAAGTGATTCATTTTTAGTGCAACTACATATATTTAAATTCATGTGATATTGGTAATTTTTTCTTTATCGTGGCCACATGTTTAAAGAAACACTGTATTTCACTGTTTCACTGTTTTATAAACTGTATTAGAATAAAGTATTCGAAGTTAATTTTTCATTTGAAAAGCAAGATGAGTGTGGGTGCTGACATAGGATAAAACTGCAACTGCAGATATTTTGTAAAAATTCAACTGAATTTTGCATTTAATTGGAATACGTTTTTCACCCTTATACTTAAAATTAGCGACTCCTCAGATAGCTGACTAAGGATGACGTTTACTCAGGGTTTAGTTCATAGACACGGATTTTGATAAAGTAATTTTTTTAAATCAAAAATTATGCTAAACGGACAAAACAACCACTTGAAGAAGACATGCAACATAGGAATAATTTAGTCCGACTTCCCCTGCATTATTTTTGTAAATAAATTTCTTTTTCTATAGATATGACACTAAAGTTTCTATGTCTTTTCCATTATCATTTTGCCAAGTCTTTAGTTTGGTAAAGCTCATGACATTGGTTTTTTTTTTTCAAATAATTGGATGGCATGCAGTGGGGAGAATCTGAAATATAAACAAATGCCATTCTAACAACTATTTTTAAAAAAAAATTGACCATTGACTTTATAAAATTATGATAACAGTAGAATAGGACTATGTAAGTTAACTTCGGCTTTAAATAGCTAAGAGTTTCTATCATTAATTTTTGTGCAATGTTAGACTTAAATTTAGAAGAATGTAGAAAATTGACAGAGAAAATTCGAATTTGAATTAAAAAAAACAAGTTTTTTGTTCAAGTTATAGTGGTTTATTTATACTATACAGTGATATCCTTATTTTAATTACATTTTATTATCCAATAAAGTTTTTCACTTGATATATTTTGCTTATGAAGAAATTTTTGTAAAGGGATTTGAGGGATTTTTTGAGAAATATACTCAGAGGCCACTAGTATAAAAAGTAGGCAATTGACCAAGTTATCTGAAAGTGCATAGTACATTGAAGCATTACAATGATTGGTCTTTCATTAGTTAGAGTAATCTAACTGTGTCTCGGGACAAGCCCTCACCACAGTTAGAATACGTCCCATATACTTGCAATGTAGCAAATCAGAGTGGATCCACTCCGAATTGATTTTGAAGAATACAAAAGGAGTAGCACTGAGAATAACTACCAAATTAATCATAAAAAACCTTTTTGAGATTGTATATGCCTATTAACCTAAAAAATAATCCAAATAAATACGAAAACTCAACTCATTTTCTCAACGTTTTTTCCTCGCTTCAAACTTAACGCCATGTTGACATTCGGAACTCTCTGGATTGTTCAAAGAAAATGCACAGAGTTCGAGTTATCGCCCGTGTTTATTATGCAACGTTGCCAATACACGGAACGAATTCTATCGTTAAACTGTATCCGTAGGACAATATCATTTTAACTATAGAACGTTCTATCTAGCCTTTCATGTGCAATAGATGGTTTTTCATTCCTATCGGTGGATTTTTTTTTTTTTTTTGCAATGTGAGTAGACGTCATCCTTAAGCTGAAACAATATCAAAATATTTCGTATAAAAGTAATTTTCTGCCTCAACCCAAACTTTTTTTCAGATACAACTCAATACAAGATTTTATTTATATTAACTTTTAATAAGTTTAATTTTAAAATAAAAATTATTAACAAAACGACAAAGTAATGACCTAGAAATGCGCCCACCGCTTGTGTTGAAATAATTTTTGACATTACGTTAAAGGTGACACTTCATTTATTTTGCACATTAGAATTTTTTAGTAAAATGTTATTGACTAATATCATCAAATAGTTATAAATTTCCTGTTTGCATCTCTGCATGGCTTTAAAATTTTGAGAGAAAAAAACTAATTGATTTTTTTCACCGCCAGATATTTTTGCTTTTTTTAAAGTTGATGTTTGTTTAAAGATGAGTTTGATTGAGTTCATTTAAATTTGCTTTTAAAGAATGAGTCCCAGTTGGTTCGTCCGATCGGCGTGATGGTTTCCCTCGGTACGGGACAGGTACCCGTTCGTCCAATTGACACTGTTGATGTCTACAAACCAGAAGGGATCTTTGATGTAACGAAGATAGCACATGGAATCCAAAACCTGATTAATGTCATGGTAGACAAGGTGAGGTAAAATATAGGTCAATTAAATGATCATCTGACAAGTATTTTTTTTAAAGAAGGTGATCAGGAAGTGTTAAATTTAGGTGTTAAACGTGTGGCCTACGTAATGACAGAGAATTACAGAACAGTGAAGTACTTAATAAACAAGTGAATTAATGTACGAGTTAAACCTACTCCAAACACCAATAAACGAATATCTTAACTTTAAATATGGAAAGGGTGTTCTTTCGTTTCGGAAATGAATGAAATTTTTGCGCACATTGGAACAAAAAAACGTAAGCTTTATTGATCATATAACTAGAAATGAGTAAATGCATTTAAAAGACTCCTTAGTATTTTAAAAATGATAAATTTACATGAAGCTGTCGGAGCATAGTAAACATAGTAGTCCTTCGCGTCATGTGTGCACAAATGGTTATATTTGCCGTATGCCTCACATTGAATCAATGGTCATCGGCCGAAGCCCATTACAAAACACAGAGAATCCATGTCGCAGTAGATATCCCTGAATGCCAACACATCATAACTTCAAAGAATCATATAATCAGTAATTAAAGTCATTTATGTGGTCCAATATGGAGTAAGAGAATCAAGGTAAGATAAAATAGGCCTAACATTACGTATCATATTCGTAAAATTCCCTATCTATATTTTGCACCGGAAGAATCATATACAGAAAGTATGATAAAGTTACATGTAGTGTGTATGAAATTGAATATTCACTAAATCATTTGAAAATTTAAAGTAAAAATAAAATAATTTATTTCTAAATTATCACTTTAAACACAATTGTTATTAAGCCAATTGAATGATAATACATGTAAGTGCAAAATTTATTTTCAAAATGGGTCATATAAATACTGATACATTCCAGGATTTATACATAATGTAAATTTCAATAATAAGATTGAAGAGTAAAACAATTTTAACTTTATAATCAGTTACAGTACATTCTTTGGAAGGCCCTTCATTAAATTACTCCTTGTGTTATATTAAAGAATTGTAGTATTCAGGAAACACCCCGTTTAAGCACAAAAAGATCCCTCTTTGCTTAATGTCCATAGGTGCGGATACATGTCTAATTTCACTGACGATCGATGGCGTCTCAATATGAGTGAAAAATTCTCGAAGGGACGCAAAGCAAACAAACAAAATACTAAGAGTTAGCGATTCCTTTTCTTTGACAAAATAAGCTGTATATTCATTCTTTCCTCCACATTTTTGCAACGGTTTGATTTAAAATTTAATACATACTAACAATACTCATACAATAATTAGAGCTATGGCTCGGATATTGAAAAATTGAAATTAGGCACATTAAGAAAAACTATTAATAAAAATTTTATTCGATGATAAAACTAACAAGATATGTAATTATAAATTTCGGTTTTATTACAGGCCACAATTGCCGAGGGTCGTCCTGTAGACAGAGCCAGAGCGTGGTGTGGTACACTCGGAGTGCCATTTTATCGATTCAGTCCACCAATAACAGCAGTAGAAATGGATGAGCATGACAATAAGAAACTTACTCAATTAATGTGGGAAACACAGTGTTACATTGTGGCTAATCAGGACAGAATTAAAAAGTTGGCTTCATTTCTAAGACGAGATCCATAGCAAATATTTTATTATAACTCCCCCCTTGAAAACCGAGAAGTATATAGATGTAGTGATGGGGGTGTCCGTCCTACCGTAGTCCTTCTGTACATCTTTCCGTACGTCCGTAACACTTGGGGCATCCTTTTATATAACATGCGGAGTGCCCATGTCTTGTTCGCAACTCTTCCTGTACCACTGAAAAAATTAATGAGACTTTCATAGAATCCTTATTACATAATGCCATCGTGCGCCTTCTACTTTTTTTCTTCAATCGGGTAGATAAATAGGGTTACCGATAGCAAAATATGGACACTGCCATTCTTTCTATTACAAGGGAATACTCATCTCTTATCTGCAACTCTTATACCGCTGAATACTAGTAAAATTTAATGAGACTTTCACAGAATCTTTATTACATAATGCACGTCCTATTTTATTTTCTGATCGGGCAAATAAAAAGGGTTACGCAAGGCAAAATATGGACACTGCCATTCTTTCTGTAAGATAGGGGGTATCCATCTCTTATCCGCAACTCCTCCTAAACCAATGGATGAAATTTAATGAGACTTTCAAAGAATCTTTAATACATAGTGCCGTTATGCACCTCCTTTTTTTCCATCAGGTAGATAAGTAGGATTTCCCAGAGGAAAACATAGACATTGTCATTCTTTTCATAACATTGGGAGTACCCATCTCTTATCCAAAACTCCTCCTATACCACTGAATAAAATTCAATGACACTTTCTCAGAATCTTTCTTATATGATGCCATTGTACTCCTTCTATTCTTTTTTCTTATCGGACAGATATCTGAGGTTTCCCCATGCAAAACTTGGAATATAAAACTTGCCAATATACCCATATAGGAGCGGAGGGTATAATTTTGTGAGCTAATTGCTCACACTTCCGCTAGATATTTTTATAGGTTTGGAAATTCAGGCAAATCGTGCTGTTATTAACGTTTTCTTGTGCATTAAAAAAATAATTGTATCATTTCATGAGTTTGTGGTTGTTTGCATAATGATGTTATAAACTTATAAAATTCTATGTCCTCAGATTGTCTTTGCTGTATGCCTTCGCATTTCCGTTACTTTTTGACGTCTGATAAGAAAGCAATCTGGATATTTGTCTGGTGAATAAGAAACCATATTCACCACCGAAAGAGTCCGTATCTGTATGATATTATTCTAATGCTTCTGATCTACTAAATAAATAAATACAAGGTTACGAATGGAAATTTATACAAATGGAAAGAACAAGATAGGCTAAGACCCCTTTTTTGCCCCTGGTTTAGGGTGTCTTTTAGATTGATGCAACAGTTTATCAATAAAAACCTGTTGTCACCCCTGCAACGAAATGAGTATTGGTTCTAAGTTATGGGGTACACAGAGGTCACAGGAAGGTCAGGAACTATGTCAATTTCCGAATTTTCTCATTTATATGGAATTTTTCACAGATTTTACAGCACATTTTGTTTCAGAAAACATATAGAGCACAAGCTTGCCTATCTACCAAATTTATATATTTCATACACTAGTATCAGATGCATCTTGTGTATAAAAATCTCAGATTGGCAAGCCTGTGCTCTATGTTTTCCGAAGTGAAAAGTATCTCAAATTTGACGAAATTCAACCAGAATTGAGGAAATTCGGGAAAATGTCCTTCTTCACCCTCTTGTGGCCTCCGTGTAAGCTTTGGATCAAAATTAGTGCTGCTTTTTAAACAAGCATCATTTTTAGTTCTAAACAAACTATCTATCACAGTTTTAACTGTGTTCTGATTTTTACATCAAATAAGGGGCCGGATTCCGCCCTTACCATACCTTGTCCTTTATACAAAACACTAAAATTGACCAACGATTTGTATTGTTGGTGTCTTTCGTGTTAATGGTGTCATTTTGGTGATATATACGAGGGGTTATCAAAAAGTTCGTGGACTAGCGTCATAAAATAAAAACCGTTTGAGGTGCATCAATGAATTTTTAAACATTTAATATGCATCAGCTTTTCTATCTATAAAATGAACTATAAATCATAAGTTTTATTTTTTAATGAACTGTTAATGTTTTAGTAAGCAACGGTTTGTCCAGGCGGCGCAACCTCGAACATGACATATTTTCTACCTGAGAGTAACTAAAAAAAAAAACTCTCGCTATATGACATATCTCATCCGAAAATCTCATTTATTCACTCAAGTAATATGACACAATCGTTCCGCAAAATTTGCAATTTTTACCTCAGTCTATAAGTTCTTTGAAATTTTATAGTAAATTTTATATGGAATGTCCAAACTATTAAGGGGTTAAAAATGACGTCAAAAGGGTGAATGTTTTTTTCCTAAATTCTATAAAGTTTCGCCCCCTGGAAAAACTGACATAGACTTAGAAAATATTTAAACGGGCTACAGAGAAATAAAAAGAATCCAGATAACCTTTTTTTCCGAGAAAGAAGAGGGGCACAATTAATGTTGATTTGTAGTCAGGGTGTCCAAAGTCTGTCACGTCGAAAAGTGACGTTGATCATGCGTTTTACACATTGAACCCCGACAAGTGCATTATGATGGCATAATCAAGCTGGGATCATTTCCTTTGTAAAAATCCATTTACAATATAATATGCATTGAAATCAATTGCTCATGACATTGTAAAGTCATATAGACAAGACGGGTTTAGGCCTATACGTAATACGTAAATCCAGGGAATCTAAACAAGATAAGTGTATTGAGGCAGAGGGAGCCGACATTGAGAAATAATGACGTTGTCGGACGTCATGAATCTTAACGGCGACAGCGCCGGGAGGTGATATCATGTCTTTTTATTTAATGATAATTTGTTAAATTATCAAGGTATCAAGCAGAAATTTGCAACACTTCTTAAACTTTTGTTATTTAATGTCCCTTAAAAATTTTGTATTATTATTGTATTATATATATTGCAGGTAAACAAAGGTGCATATGCCATGAAGTAAAATCATTAATGGTGACAAAGCAATCAAGTCCGAAAATCTCGAAATGGGTTTACAGTATTATTGTCATCATATAAATTGTTTATGATAAACATTTTTAAAATCCTTTTAAAATTTACTTTCTCATGAACATTATCACAAAGTTTTTATCAACCTGTTCTTTCAAAAGACTTTGAACATCATTCAGAGGGATAGGTGAATTTGCTTGAAAAGGGCACTCGTTTGAAACCTACTTTTAAGAGTATTCGTGCCTGAATGAATTTCTGTAAAGATGTAGGCCTCAAGTTATGTAATTGTGCATATATCGTTAGGGCTTGTAAACGAGGTCGGCAAGCTGCATTTTAAGTAACCTTTTTCCCCCTCTGAATTTTTAGATTTTGCATTTTTTTTTTCATAATCCCAATAACTTTGAATTATAAGAAATAATACATTTGAGGGCGAAGTTTTTTTCTCCATAAATAAGATTCAACGTAACAAAACATTTTTACAGTCACAAATCATACATGTTCCGCTTATCAATTTACAAATGTTTTGAGGGTTGTTTTAAGTTCAAAATTCGGGGGGGGTGTTTTTTTTTAAAGTATCATTAATATATGTCCTACTTTGCGGTCCAACACATTATGCTGTTTGAAAAGTTCACTTTTAAAATTTCTTTTAAAACCCTCTTGTATCGAGGGACCATACCTGTTGTTTAGAAGAAGTGATGATAAATTTAAACTCCTCCTGGTACTTCAACTGAAGTAATAAGACGATTTTAGTTGTACTTTATTTGTATTTTTCTTTAATTATCCATTGATACAATTTCTAGGAATTATTCAATACTTATTTATTTTACATTTTTAATTAGAGAGCTTCCTCACGTTTCACTTCTAGGCTATTCACTCACATACTTTTTGCCATCAATCGTATGTCATTTTGTTTGTTTTGTACATGATATTGGTGAATATATTCTGATTTAGATTATCTCTGTCAGTATTAGAATGATAAATTTTCCTCTTTATAGTACATTTTTTCACCTCACTGTCAACCAATTATTTAGCAATTTAAAATAGTGTAATCTGTTGAGCTCTGAGGGGTTATCACCTAGTTCGTAATTCTATATAAAGTGTTTGAAAGGTCCTAGTTTAGAAAGCAATGTCCAATGTACAAGATTAAGTAAGTACATGTACCTCTTTAAAAGAATATTAATATAATTAAATTGATCTAATATGTGTATGTTAAACACATGATTGAAAATTAAGGAGAAATTACCTATAAAAATATCTGAAGAGGCTTTCATTAACACAGCTTTATTCTAATAAAATAATATTTTCAATTTTGTTTATATCTATCTATCTATCTATCTATCTATCTATATCTATATATATATATATATATATATATATATATATATATATATATATATATATATATATATATATACATATATATATATATATATATATATATACGAACAGGAGAATAATATATATATATATATATATATATATATATATATATATATATATATATATATATATATATATATATATATATATAAAAGATACCCTAGTGCCTGTTTGCATGAAAAATATCTATCCGGGGGAAAATTCAAACAAAGAACAAAAAGAACACATTTAGTAACAAATGGATGCTATATGCAAAGTGTTTACCAAAGATATTTAGAGGAAGGTTGCACAGGATGAAAAGCCAGGTTTCCCAAATTTGGAAACCCGATGGAAACATACGGTAATCGTGACATCAGTAGTTTCCATATAGTTTCCATTTTATGGAAACCACATAGTGGTTTCCACGTAGATTCCCGATATGGAAACAATCAACTTGTGGTTTCCCGTAAGTTTCCCAATATGGGAAACCGTGGAAACAGGCAGTAGTGGTTTCCACGTAGATTCCCGATATGGAAGCAATCAACCTGTAGTTTCTCGAATGTTTCCCAGATATGGAAAAAACACGTATGCTGTGGTTTACACCTATTTTTCCGATAATAGACATTTTGAAAAAGTGTATCAAAAGAATAATTTTAAAAAACTGTTTGTGTAATTCTGTGTAATAAAATTGAACATTCTGTGACCACCTTAAACCCAAATTAAATAATTTTTTAAACATTTTAGTCTCGGTAAAACTCATAAAGATACGAGAATTGGAATTAGTAGAGAAGATTTAATACAACTTTTAATTTTAGAAAAATCAGTGTAAACTGTTCAGATAAAATTCAATCATTGCGCTGATCCTTGTAATCGCGGGCACCTGTTCTCACGTGCCACAGGTGGAGACACGTGTCGCGAAGACACCTGCGACTGTGTATTTTTTGTATATTCTATGTGATTTGAGAGGGTTTTCTACCTAAGGGGAACAATGGGCTGTGGTCAAGCATGTACATACACATAATCTCCGCAAACTCAGTTTAAATTTAGGTGATAATTGCTGGCCATTGATTTGATTAAAAAAAAAATAATTTAAATTATCAATAAGACCACAAAATATTGATAAAATAAGCTACATTAATTTTAAGATGTTCAATGAGAGAAGAAAAAAAAAGAATTGTATTGTAATTTTTCATTACTGATTAAAAAACAAAATTTCCTAACTGTTGAAAAATTATATATACTTTTCTATCGGTCTAGAATTAATCTAAATTCTCGTTATGTGTTAAATCATAATTCTTTTTCAAATAAATTTGTAAGTGCATTGATAAATGAAATAAAATTTCTTAATCGGTAATTAACGAATCGTCCTTATTTGACATCAATGTAAACTTCAAATATTGAAAACATAGAAAGAATTATTAATTATCAACTTTGTTGTCTGCTTAATTCGCAAATTGTTTATGAGAAAGGATGCATGCAGATGGATCTATTATACAACATAACAACTAAATTACTAATGTTTTGTGTGAAATTCGTATGTAGTCCTCTACAAAGACATTGATAAGATAATACATCAGAATAATATTCATATACAAAATTAATGAGTTTAACTAAATAACTATTTTTTTTTTAATTTATATCTGTACACAGACCCTGATGTAGTAAATGTCTTCATTTTTGC